GCTCTGGCGAGCCAGCGCAGCACACGGAAACGCCGTTTACCTTCCCGCTTGTAAGCGGTCCCTATTTATCTACTTGCACCCGAGGGTGCTTTCGAACTGCTAGGTTGGCAGGCGCTGGGACCGAACAGCGGGAGCGCACCCCGCCGCGAGGATTCGAACCGCCGACCTTTCGATCGGCAAGCCCTAGGCGCTGAGGCTTTTACCCACAGCGCCACCCGCGTCCCTACATCCTGTTTAGCGTGTGATTATTGACAAGAGTAGAATAGTAAGTGAAACTATACCTAAAAAGAAGACAGCCTAAAAATGAAACAAAATGGCATTGAAACAGCAGCAGATGACAGAAAACGGTGAACATTTACTCAGTTTAGAGTTTTTTTGTAGAAATACATTTTGATTTAAAAAGTCAGAAAAGGAGAACAGCTAGCAAAACCCTAATTAATATGCTCTCAACAGGAGGGTATCTCTTATGCTGGAACATTCTCTCTGGTAATCTAAATGGAAGGAGAGACAGCTCAATGATAACCATAGTTTGGTGAGGATTGTAAGTGCCAGGGCACCTAGAAAGTTGAAGAGAAGGAACTGAAGAAATTATTGAATAGAAAAGGGCTAATTACTATTTATTCATAATTAAGCTTCCTAGCAAAATATCTGCAAATATTTTCTCCTTGTAAAATAAACATTTGTGGTTTTATCTCAGTATTATGTTAGATTAATGTACATATTTAAATAAAAGGAACAGATATTTTATTCTGCTAATTTGGTTTGATAGTTCAGACTTGTCTAGAAACCATGTGCCCTGGACCACTTGAAGACTGGCTAGCATCTATGAAGATTTTCTTCTCTAACTCTTAGAGGACTACCCTCAGTTTGACAACCCATCAGCTTGAAACCTCACCTCACTTGCTCTGTTTGGATAAGTATGCTGGTGGAACTTTACAGTTGTGTGACCCCAGCATAGGCCAGTAGAATTGTAGTGGCCCGAATAAGAACTGGAGTTCACTGGAGACAGAACTAACCATGCAGAACATCAGGGTATCCAAAAGCTCTGAGAACAAATTCAGAAGCTTGCCGGATTTGCTGGATCAGCTCAGCATGTTCTGCCTCCCTAGTCTCCATTCAGGCAAGCAAGAGGCATGATCAGAGTTCAAGGACACATTCCAGCTAGGCAAAAACTCTCAAAAGAGGATGCAGAGCAGGGCCAGTAACAGGTGTGGCTGGGGAGGGGCTGGGGCCAAAGGTCTGACAGAGAGGCTTGGAGGGCTGCATTTCACCTCTGGGGCTTGAGGTTCCCCATCTCTGCTTTAATCCTTTGCCTCCCATTGTAGTCCCAATCTGGATCCACCCACTCTGGCATTTGCATTTTGGAAGGGAAAAATGTTCCCGATACTTTTCCTAATGCAGATTGCAGGTGTGAAGCCACAATCCAGGTCTGGATTACACTGGAAGAAAAGGGTTAAAGCCCTCTAATTCCCATGTCACCTTCCCAGTCCAGATCAGGAGGCAATCTGCAGCAATTCATGAAATAAATATCTTACGCTTAATCATATATTGCTTTACTCTTGCTTTGCAGGATCATAGCTGGCTCAGCCCCTCCCTGCCCTGTTTCAGTTGTAGACCTTGAAGTCCTGCGCAATGCCAAAATTTGGTGCCCCCCACCTTTCATTCTGCATCACAGTTGGGGTGCCTCCTGAGGCTCCATGCCCAGTGCAACCAAACCTGTTGCGCTTCCCTCAATCTGCCTCTGCCTGTTTCAGGGCTTTGGGTGGGCTTCTGCTAGCAGGTACCCCAAAGAAGCACTCCACCCACCTGCACATTCAACACTGCAGATGGAGGATGCCTCTGCCCAATCAACACACTCTTTCCACCCCAAGTCCAGCACAAAGGGCGTCTGGATTGCAAAGGAGTTTCAAGAAAAGAGATTGATATGGCAGGAGAATTACTTGTATGAAACTGAAGTTTCTTTCATAGATCACAAGGTATGTATATATATATATATACATGAACAAAACAGCACTTCTAAGAGTCTACTAATACAGTTGAACCTATTGGGTGGCTTTCCTCCATATTTTTTTGTTCATCAGTTCTCTTTAAATGAGGGGGCTGCTAATTATTGCGGTAGGGTCAGCACCATTAAAAGTGATTTTTAAAATTCACAGTAAAGATTATGAGAAGCAAACACATAAGAGTGAATGTTTTAAACCTGACTTAGAAGTTCATCTGAGATTTCAAGGTCTAAACCGGAACAGTACCTAAAACAAGTGCAGATAATTTACAGAGGATTTAATTTCCTACCTATTGCAGAGGTATACCAAGGCCTTCTATGAAATGTAATAATCCTTGGCAAATCTACAGGACATACACAGAAAAATCCAATGTTAATACCACCGTAAAAGCTTCACATGTCATTACAGGCTGGAACAGATTACAGCTATTGATTGCTGCCTGGAGAATGTTCTCGCTGTGAGAACGGAAGGCGAGCAGCAGTGACAGACAGCTCAGCTATTGATCTACTCCAGCAGGGAAACTGCACTTCAAAATGAAGGTCAGTATTCCTTTATGCCACCAATTAGACCCACTATAATGTTCATCAGGACACTGCAGAGATTGGTGAGATTGTTACGAACAATTCTGAGTCATATTTTATTTCCAACATGCATAGTTTCTGACAACAACTGACTGAAAACTACAGAAGGCAAATTATACGCCCCCAATGACGGCAGAACTGATAATCTTGGAAGGGAAAAATGCCATGTCCCATAAACTGAATGGGAAAAAGTGACTGCATTTTTTATATATATATTCAAGACAAAATTATATGAAAGTATAAGGGTGAAATCCAATGCTGATGTTCTGGTTATGGAACAGTTTTTGATCCAGTGGAAACATCTGGAAACAGAAGAGAAGGGGAGGCCATTCTCACCAGTTTTCTCTTTCCCCTACAGCTCTAATTCCATGCCACCTTCCATGTTGCTGTGGAGAGTCCCTCAAGACTCTCCTCAAGACTCTGCAACATTTTTTCAGGTGGTGTAGGGGGACTCAGTGAAAACTGCCTCCGCTTCTCTTATGTTAGCAAAGCAAAAGCAGCTCCACAAGTGGCACCATATTATTGGATGCTTTTTTCTCAAAAGAGACCCTGAGGCATCAATAACAAAAAACATAAAATGTAGCTCAACAATGCATTGTATAATTCATTTTCAGAATCTCTCAATCAATAAGAATCTAGGCATACAAAGGTGTCTCAAGCTCATCTATTTATTTCAAGTATGGAAGAATTGGAAATGCTCAAGGAAACCAACTGGTCCATGTAATGTTTTCTTTCATAATGAACAAAATAATATTCCAGTGCCATTTTAAATACGATTACTGCTTCTCCCTTTGTTATTTATAATACTTTCACCTATCACATATTCAAAAAACCAAACTCAGGTGGTGAGTGTAAACAGGATTGTAGTTAAAATGGGGACACTGAGAAATAAGAGGAAGAAATCAGTATGATTGAGGAGGGAACCCCAAGGCTTTCAGAAACTTGAATGAATAAATTAAAATAAACCTTAAAATACTGCCTGCTAACAAGCAGATTTAGGGGAGCACACCCGGTTCACCCACAATGGGCAATGAGTTGAGAAGGCACTGTAGGGGGCCCTGCAACAATGATGCATGGAAAGGGAGAGGCGGTTTTAGCGTTGCACAGTGCACTGCTGAAATGTTAAAAGTCCTCTACTCCCACTAAAACAACCAAGCAAAATCTATTCTCTACCTAGGTAAAAAAAACACAACAACATTAAAGGAGCCCTGGATGGTTAAGTCCAGTCAAAGGCGACTATGAGGTTGCGGCACTCATCTCGCTTTAAGGCTGAGGGAGCCACTGTTAGTCCACAGACAGCTTTCCGGGTCATGTGGCCAGCATGGCTAAACCACTTCTGGCGTAACGGAACATCGTGACGGAAGCCAGAGCACACAGAAATGCCGTTTACCTTCCTGCTGCAGCGATACCTGTTTATCTACTTGTGTTGGTATACGTTTGAACTGCTAGGTTGGCAGGAGCTGGGACAGAGCAATGGAAGCTCACCCCATTACAGGGATTTGAGCCGCTGACCTTCCGTTTAGGCCACCGTGCCACCTGCATCCCTACCTATACCTGTACCAGACTGATTATGTGGCACCCATGTCAGTTTCATCTAGGAATAACTGGAGCTGAACAGCCACCCCCAGCCCTCTTCAGATACCTTGTTTAGCTAGGTGCAGACTGATAACTGCCCAGATCAGACAGTTCAAGTAAAGGAAACTTCAAGATAGTCCTGTCCACAGCCTTCTGAGAACATTAGAAGCCCATTCTCTCCTTCAATGAGTAATTTCTAATGGATCTGATGGCATTGCTTGATTCTCCCCTCCCCGCTCTCTCTTTCAAGCTGCCACCATCCACGATGGGCAAGAATCCAGAAGACTGCTGCAGTAGTCCATGAACTTTGTCTATATCTCCAGGCTGCAATAACAGAAACTCACCCAAGCAGTAGCCAGCGGCCATAGATAGTTCAAGTACAAATATTGTCAAGGAGGACTTCAAATTCAACTGGACATTAGAAATTTGTGATCTAAACCTAGCTCACCAGCCATGTACGACAGGTTATTAGGAGGTTGATAATCACCTGGTTTTGCTGCCTAGCTGGGACTGCAAAAACAGACAGGTTATCAAGCATCCTTCAGGCCACAATACGTGACTTAGGGGCTGTGCAACAGGCTGCATGTTGTGCAGGTCTATTTTAGCTATTTTGTAAACAGGCCTAGGTGAGTCAAGCAGGCTAAGAAGAAAGCTTCTAAAATCAGTGTGCCTCGCCAAATGATATATACTGTATTGGCCCAAATATAAGCAGCAATTTCCCCCCCCAAATTCCGACTGTAAAAAGTTAAAGTGCGGCTTAAATTCGTGACCTTACAAAATGGACTTTTACGATATCGCTGCTGAAACAGACATATGGTAAAACGGAAAAAAATATTTTATTGCCAATGTAGTGATTATACGGTATCTTTTGTGGGCTTGGAAGATCAAAGGCTTAAATTGGCTCAGTTACAATTCTACCAACCACAGCGATTGAAATTATTCTGGTCACTTTTAGCAAAATAGTCTCTACCATAAAATGAAATCTGCATTGATATTCTGAGAATTCTGAAAGTTCTCTCTCTCTAATATACAAATGCCAATATCCAGGCTGCATTCCCAATATAGAAGGAAAGATGCAGAAGCTGCTCTCCTGACTGGAAAGGGTTGGGGTGGCAGTGAGGTTGGCGGTGCCCTGCATTGCACCCCCATAGCCTGCCCTTGCTACTGCCCTGCCAAGTTTCCGGAAGGAGGCTCTGCTCTCCAAAGGGGCTGATACTGGAAATGTTGCAAAGTGAAATGCATCTTTACATTCTTTATTCATCAGATTAGTTCAAAAATCAAACATGAATAATTCTAAAAATGTTGCTTTTGCTAAACGTAAGAAAAATCCTGTTGTATCGTGTCAAAGGCTCACCTCTTCTAGCCTCCTGTATTCACAATAGTCGACCAGATGCTATGGGGAAGCGACAGCCCTCTCCCCAAGTAATATTCAGAGTGCTATGCAGATTCCCTGCAAGTGATATTCAGAGGATGCTCACCATGGCAAGTAGCTATTGATGATAAAGACTTAATGGTTTCAGCAGAGTCTTTCACAAAACCAAATATTCTTGTAGAAAACTTACCTCAAAGTGAACAGATGTAATTCCCAGTCCTGAACTAGAAACAAAGAAAAGGATACAAGCTCTGATACAGAGTTTTAAGGGACTTCACAGCTCTGCTGGCATTGATGCACGAGGCCCGGATAAGATTTGGTAGCAGTTTTGCAGTCACAATTGCCCCATCAAACAAAGGACCAAAAAATGGCACCTGCCAAAACAAAATGCATTGTATCATTAAATCAGTATATATCACTGGATGAAAGGCTAAGGGAAGTCAGAGTAGAATTACTGAAATTAATGAATTTAAGTTAGTCGTTTCCATTAATTTCAACGGATCTACTCTGAGTAAGACTAACCCTGGAGACAATGTAACATAGTAGTTTTTATCAGCAAATGTGTAAAGTATTCAATTAAAATGTTTATGTATTATCTTTTGGGTACAAGTGTCTGGGTTTGGATGTTTCCTCAACTTGAAAACAGATAAATGTATGTGTACACACATACACATACACACCAGAAGTTTAAAACAGTTTAAAAAATGTCCAATAGCTCACTCCCAATAACTACTCAGTCTAAGCTGTCTATTTGTGGTATCTCCAAACAACTAGTGTCAAACCAAGGACTGCAACTGGCCACACTTACACTTTGATATAAAGTGAAACGTCATGTACAACAAATGCTCTTGAAAAGTGCATTGGTGTAAAGTATAAATAATGGAAGAATGCTTTCAGACTCATTTCATGTGTAAGGCTTTTTCATATTTTTGTTTGATATGTATTCTGTTGTACCTACGGGACTGCCTCTCCTGGTATGCCCACGTAGAGCTCAAGGTCCATAATAACAACACCTAGTGGTCCCAGGCCCTAAGGAAGTTAGATTGGCTTCAACCAGAGCCAGGGCCTTTTCAGCACTGGCTCCGGCCTGGTGGAACGCTCTGCCTCATGAGACCAGGGCCCTGCGGATCTGATTTCTTTCCGAAGGGCCTGTAAGACAAAGTTGTTCCGCCTGGCCTGTGGCTTGGAGTCAGTTGATTCCCTCCCCCTCTTTCTTTTTTCTTTTCCTTTCTCCTCCTGCGATGAGGCTACATTTTAATATTTTAATGTTTCAATATTTTAATGTTGTATTTTAATTTTGTTTTTAAGTTGTATTCGTTCAAGTTGTTTTTATTATTGCTTGTTAGCTGCCCTGAGCCCGGCCTTGGCTGGGGAGGACGGGGTATAAATAAAATTATTATTATTATTATTATTAATGTTCATGAAATGAAGTACTAACAAGAATTCTTTCAAAGAGTTAGTTCTATCATGCCAATAGCAAGCTATCACTTAGCTTTGGAACACATTTTTAAAAGAAAAGCCTGACTAGCTTTTCAGTTGCCTTATAATTGAATAACTTTCTAAAGAAATGTTTGCAGCAACTGATATTATAGTTTGAAGACTTGTTTATTCTATTATATTTTATTCCAAAGAAGACCCATTTATCCTAAATAGAACTTAATTAGGGCAGGCATGTACAGTGATACTTCCGGTTACGAATGACATTTCCACAATTTTGAAAGCACGCCAAAAAGTGCAAGTAGATTAATAGGTACTGCTCTGGCGGGAAGGTAACGGCGTTTCTGTGCGCTGCGCTGGTGTCAGTGTTCCATTGCGCCAGAAGTGGCTTAGTCATGCTGGCCACATGACCCGGAAAAGTGTCAGCGGACAAACGCCAGCTCCCTCAGCCTGTAAAGCGAGTTGAGTGCCGCAACCCCAGAGTCGTTCGCGACTGGACTTAACTGCCAGGGGTCCCTTTACCCTTTACCTTATTAGCATTGTTAAGAAAAACAGGCAAAACCAAATCCAAATCCAAAGGCTGGACTTCTTAAAATACAACCATTACTGGAAATTGAGTCAGATAAGCTTAATAATTTCATGAAGAAGGGGCAGGAGATCTGGGCTAGACATGGATCTAGATAGACATGGATTGGGAGATACAGCCACTAGAATTAATACTGTTCTGATTTAAAAATAACTACTTTAAATACAGTCATGGGTGGTATGCCATGTCACATTTACTGGCATGTTGGCATTGGACAACTGCTCATGTGGGCTTTTTGAATCTGTCTTTTTTCTGAGGGTCCTGGAGAGGGTTTCCAAGAATGACTATTGTATTGACTAAGGAAGTAGTATGATTTTCTTTTTAATACTCGAGGAATGAAGGGGTATTTGATGTTGTCTTAAAGGTATGTAAGGTATTGATCAGAGCTGAAACTAGTCATTACTGGTGATAACAGAATAATGATGCAAGGAAGGAAGCTGTAGTCAAGACAGGAAAAGAAGGTGGTAAGGGAACATCTAGCTACTTTACATGAATTCAAATCTCCAGGATCTGATGAGCTGCACCTAAAGCTACTAAAGGAGCTTGTGGGTGTATCTCAGAGCCTCTGTCTATAATCTTTAAGATTTTTTTTGGAGGACAGGTGAGATCCTGGCGAACTGGAGAGTGGTCAATGTTTTCACATCATCAAAAACGGGGGCGGGGGGGGGGGAGAAGACCGAGGTAACTACTGACCGGTCAGCTTGATGTTGATACCTGGAAAGGTTCTAGAACAAATAATTAAGCAGTTGGTCTGTGAGCATTTAGAAAAGGATACTGTGATTACTGAGACCTAGCATGGGTATTCTCAAAAACAAGTCTTGACAGACAAATCTCACTTCTTTTTATTTCTTTTTTTATATACAGTGGTAAGGTAAAGGTAAGGTAAAGGTACCCCTGCCCGTACGGGCCAGTCTTGCCAGACTCTTAGGGTTGTGCGCTCAATCTCACTCTAGAGGCTGGGAGCCAGCGCTGTCCGCAGACACTTCCGGGTCACGTGGCTAGCGTGACAAGCTGCATCTGGCAAGCCAGCGCAGCACACGGAACGCCGTTTACCTTCCCGCTGGTAAGCGGTCCCTATTTATCTACTTGCACCTGGGGGTGCTTTCGAACTGCTAGGTTGGCAGGCGCTGGGACCAAGCAACGGGAGCGCACCCCGCCACGGGGATTCGAACCGCCGAACTTTCGATCGGCAAGCCCTAGGCGCTGAGGCTTTAACCCACAGCGCCACCCACGTCCCTATATAAAGTGGTACCTCGGGTTAAATACGCTTCAGGTTACAGACACTTCAGGTTACAGACTCCGCTAACCAGAAATAGTACCTCAGGTTAAGAACTTTTGCTTCAGGATGAGAACAGAAATCGTGCTCCGGCAGCGCGGCAGCAGGAGGAGGTCCCATTAGCTAAAGTGGTGCTTCAGGTTAGAACAGTTTCAGGTTAAGAACGGACCTCCGGAATGAATTAAGTACTTAACCGAGGTACCACTGTAGTTACAAACTTGGTGGATTGGAATGCTGTGGACGCATGTATCTTGATTTCGTAAAGCTTCTGGTTAAGTCCCCCATGATATTCTTGCAGGGAAGCTGGTAAAACTGGGCTTGGATGAGATAACTGTTAGGTGGTTTTTCTAGCTGGCTGACTGACCGAACCCAAAGACTGCTCACAAATGGCTCCTCCCCATCCTGGGAAAAGGTGCCACAGGTCCTGGGCCTGCTGTTGTCCAACATCTTTATAAATGACTTGGATGAAGGAATTTAGGTGATGCTCATCAAATTTGCAGATGACACCAAACTGGGAGGAGTTGCTAATGCTGCAGAAGACAGATTGGAGAACTGGGCCAAAACTAACAACATGAACTTCAGTGGGGACAAATGTAAGGTTCTACACTTAGGCAGGAAGACCAAGCTGCACAAATATAAGATGCGGACACCTGGCTTGCCAGTATTACATGTGAAAAGGATCATGGGGTCTTAGTAGAATGCAAGACTAAGATAAGCTGACATTGTGGTGCAGCAGCCAAAGAAGCTAATGCCATTCTAGGGCTGCATCAACATAAGTATAGTGTCCTGATCAAGGGAAGTCATAGCACCCAACTTTTGTGCCTTGGACAGACCACGCTTGGAGTACTGTGACCAGTTCTGGGTGCCACAATTAAGAGGATATTGACAAGCTGCAACATGTGCAGAGGAAGGTGACCAAGATAATTAAGGATCTGGAAACCAAGCCTAATGAGAAACAGTTGAGGGAGTTGAGTTTAGGCTGGATAAGAACAGAGAGGAGATATGAGCTGTCACATAAAAGATGGAGCAAGCTTGTTTCGCCTGCTCTGAAGGCTAGGACCCGAATCAAATTATAAGGAACAAGAGTCTGACTAAACATCAGGAAGAACTTTCTGATGATAAGAGCTGTTCAAACGTGGTGGACTCTCATTCCTTGGAGTTTTTTTTTAGGCAGAGGTTGGTTGGCCACCTGTCTTTAAGTGAGGTTTCTGCACTGCAGTGGTTGGACTGGGTGACCCTGGAAGTTCCTTTCAACTCTACAATTCTGATTCTAATGAATCTAGGCTATCCAACAAGCCTAGAGCAAGATGACTTGCATTTTAATTCTATGACCTGCTATAGTGCAGCAGCTGCACATAGGATTGAACTGGAAATTTATGAATATTTATAAGGGTGTTTTAGGATGTATGATAATTTCTAAATTGGTAAATTTAGCCCTATCTAGTGTGTCCACCTAGAACTGCACAATGAGAAGAACCACTTCAATATTATTTTAAAACTGATTGCCATGTTTTTAGGTCATCTTGACATACATGGTACATGAAATATATTTGGAAAGTTTTGGGGATGGAGCAGGATATAAATCTAAATAAAATGCACAGGAGTGTTCTGAATGCCAGTCTCATAGGAAACTCATCTGGTCTCAGAAGAAGGACTGCTTCCAATAGAGATTGTCTGTCTCATGTCTGTTTCAGATCTTAAAATCACTTAAGTAGTTTTGTGTACATTTTATGTGAATACATGATGAAACTAAGATTCCCCACATAGCAACTTCTACACTATTTTAATTATTGAGAATTTTTAAAAATACTATTCTAACCCATTAGAAAACACAATCAAGTTTAAACAACCATGAGAGTGCAAAGACATATCTTCCATAGCAAGCAATATAGTTTAAAAAAGCTGGTGAATGAGTAAATTATTGTACCAAATGGCTGAGAATTAATCTCTGATGACGAACTGCAATCTAACGAGGCATCTGTGTCCCAGGGAACTCTCAGTGTGTCCCTGGCGGTATGCACAGCGTGTAGAGTCTGCACGGCATTCTTTGTCCGCTTTTGTGGGCAGCTTTTCGTCTCATTGTTCAGAATATCTTAATGCATCTGTGATGCGTGGAATGCATTCATACTGACAGACTTACTATTGTTTTCTCTCAGAAGCTTTGTTGAGCAAAAGACTGCATCGCAGTTTCCCATAATTATATTGGTTAATTAATCAAGACAAAAAAGTTTGCAAATCATTGCCTGGTTGCCAAGCAGGAGGATAAAAAATGAACACAAGACACGCGGTAGCAATGTAAGAGAAGTAACAGCTATTGGATGAGAGATTCTTATATAATGAAGCTATTAATACTAAAATGGTTAATGTTAACATTGCTCCAGGTGTCTTTCCTTAGATGCAAACAAAAAGGCTAACATTATGTATATAAAAGGCCAAATGTTACCATGGATCCTGAAACCTTACAGAGAAGCGACAGCTTTTTCATCTGATTAGGGAACACAATTTAAATACCAGGGACTGCAGCCAAACAGTCATTTCTCTCTACAAGCCTCTTTCATTCACTCTGGGGTCAGTAGCTGGTGAACAGAAGGTCAGACACATTTGCCCTGGAAATACCTGGATTAGTTTTATTGCATTGTAATAGTTATATTTTAAAAGGCAAACTAACACGAATTTTACAGTTTGGCATTTTTCCTTCTGCAGCATGGCTTCTTTGAACACACAACACATTAGCAAAAAGGAAGCAGACATACACACACATGGCCTTTCTGTTATGGTAGTACATTTAGCATTCATTTTGCATTTGATATTCATATATTGAGCCTAGTATACTTTGTACAGAAAAAGGGTATATAAATTGAATAAAAAGTAGTAAAATGATACTGTTAAGTAAAACAATTAGTAAAAGAGAAAAAAAGTTAAAAGTCCAATCCTATGCATGTCTACCCAAAAGTGTTCCCACTTAATTTACAGGGACTCAATATTAGGTAAGCATGTGTAGGATTGTAGTCCTAAACTGGTTTGGTTTAAGATTTCGGTGTCTAAAGGGGTGATCAATTGACCATTCCTACTTTATTTCAGATGTCTTTGCTTTACCACTCCAAGAAAGCTTAGAGTCATTGTTATTTTCGTTTTGTTGTCAGGTGACAACACTCTCATTTTTCTATATCCATCTGCTTCAATAATTGAATTTTATTTATTATGTTTTATTGCTTACAATTGTTATATTTTAGTACTTTCATCCTATGAAAGTCTCTCTGGGAACCTGATGGATGAAAAACATTTTCTAAATCAATCACATTTTTCAATAACAGTAACTGATGAATTGATCTGTGATTAAGTGTTATTTTATCCTTATGGGAAAAGGGACTTCACTGGGTGGCAGGACAGGCATTGATAAATTCAAGAAAATTGCATGTCACTAAGATGCAATGAGAGGTGCATCTACACTTCTTTCTGCTGCTGGCTTGGCTCTTATTATTCTGAGTGCATTTGCCTTTTAGTCATCTATACATCATCTGCTTCTTCACCTGTATCAATTTTTCTTTTTCTATGGTGCTCCAATGCCTCAGGGTAACAGCAAGACCCGTCCCAGGAAGCCTGACTAGGATTTGCCTGTCTGCCATAATCTTAAAGCATATTAGGCAGCTGTACATTTCCCCCTTATTGAACAGGGCCATAGGGCTACTTGGATAAATTCTGAAAACCTGTGTAAACTTTGCAAAAATTGTAACAGCTGAATAGGTTAAAATCAGGCTCATCTGGATGTTTTGCAGTATGTTTTGTGCTGTGGAAAATGATAGAAGGCACTGGAAAACAAGGCGAGCAACTGTACAATGAGAGCTTCCTATCAAAAAATGGCTGTTTTTATTGGGTTTGAGATTGTAGCTGTTAAAACTTCATTCAGTATATATGCCCAATGGTTTCTAATGGAATAAAAAGATGCATAACTGCATGCATGTCTAAAGCCCATTAATATATTCTAATCAAAGCTTTGGAAACAGCACCAGAAGTAGGGCTTTTTCAGGAGTGGCACTTGGACATCTTTGCGTCTTTGAGCCCACTTTCTCCCTTTGTGGGAAAAGCAGCTTCAGATGAAAGCACTACTAGAGCAGCATCCACAAGAGGCACCTTAAGATGTGTGGCCCCTGGAAATGTATAGTGCTGCTGACTATGTGATTGGCTGCCTAGCTAGAGCCAACCATTTTATGGATAAAATCCTATCAAAGGATTCTGGGACTGGAACTGTGGAAGATTAGTTTGGCCCCTGTGGAAAAACCACCATGAGACCCTTCAGTAAGGAGTATCCTGTTTCTGTCCTTGGCATCTGCATCTGTAGTCAGCCAGACAGCCCAGAGGTCTAGAAAACAATTCTACCTTAACAGCCTGTGTCGCACAGGTTGTTCTCCTCCATCATTAGAGAGTTCTCCTTCCTCTCTGTGGAAAACCTCAAATTCCTGAATAGGGATAGATCTGTCCATTTTTGGTTTCTCTCACTTTCAGTTCTCCACATTTCTGCATTTGTTTATAGGGGATGGGGGCAACCCTCCCAGCAGAGGAGTCCAAGTTGTGCTTTCTGCTGTTAGGAGAAGCAATCCTGAATGTTTCCTCCTCACATTTTCCAGTACAAATTCATGTCTTCCTCAAATTGAACTTTTTATGTCACTTTGTGGAAAGCTACTCAAGCAGTGCAAGTTAAGCATTTGTTAAGCATTTGATCATACTGGGTTGCATCCAGTAGCATTTGTCTAACTCATGAAAGGCTTTCTGACCCAGTGAAGGCTTCCATCACCAGAAGGGAGAGACAAGTGCTTTTCACTAATTCCCTGCAGTCACCTGTGCCACCTCCCACTCTGTTCTGAAAGATCCCACCATCCTATGGAGAAGATTATGTATAGGTGTAAGAAGGGCTACAGGGGAGAGGGGGAATTGGTGAAAATCACCTTCCTTCCAATTTTGCTGATGGAAGCCTCGGATGGATTAAAAAACCCCTTCATTCAGCACAAGGGACACTGGATGATGTAACTCATTAAGTTCTTTTATATACAAAGTGAGAATACACAGCATCAGATGCTCCCATTCAACTTAGAAAAAGCATTCAGGATTTTTTTTCAACTGAGCTGTCTTTGAGCACTATTATAAACACTAGCCATGATACATAAAATAAAACAATCAAGAACATACCTCTGGTTTCTTTGTGATCTCTATGAAAAACATGTGATTCTTCATTGGATAAATAATAATTAAAGCATCTCCAAAATCTGTTGGTATAATACCCCTGCGATAATTTCTGGTGTGCTCAGACCACACAATATGAACCTCATCATTTCCCAAGTGACGAAGCTGAAACGGCAAATTGGCTTGCTATTAATCAGGGTGATGAACACAACTTGAGAAGTTGGACAAATTGAATAATGCGTCAATAAAGAAAATTGTACATTTTCTCCTTAAGGGAATCCATCTTATTCAAAATATTTATGGGACCCTGGCTAGAGAGATTGTCCTAGTTTGATGTACTTCTAAACTACAGTTTAGAGTTATGAGAATGTGCAGGAGCAAGTTCCACAGTCTCCTCTCCTCCTTCTGTGTGGCTGCGAGATCAAAGCTTTTGCCTCAGTTACATATTAACCACAATTTAGCATTATGAATAGTTAATCTTAACTGCTGTTTGTTTAAATAAGCATGGTTTCAAGTTGTCTTGTTTTAACAAACCATGATTAGCCATAGTTTTTTGGGCTTGGACAACAAGTGGTGCTTAATGTAAAACTGAACCTTGCTATGGCTCATTGTCATAAAACTAAACTGATTTTGAGTGAAATCCAGATCAGCTTGTAGGATTATCTTATATTAGTATGGTGCTATTCATAAAAGGCCGACTTTCAAAGTCGGAAGCATAGGTTTAAAACCAGAAACATTCACTTAGTGCACACACCTTGGGCTAATTCAAAAGCAGTTGGTTGGGAATAAAAGATAACATGATACTGAAGAAGCTAGTTCTTCACTTGCTTGCCATGGAAACTGGATATTTTCAGGGTCCTTATATATTGCAGAATAGCTGAAACCAGAATATTTTGATGAAAACTGAAAATTCTGAGGGTGGAATCTAATATAGTGTGAGTGGATGTCTAGTTGCAGAAGGAGGCTTCTTCTCTCCCTCCCCCCATGTGCCCCAGTAATGTGCTCTGGAGGACTGTGGCTTCCACGGAACTGAGTTTGGAGGCACATGGGGCCTGGAAGAGGAAGTTGAGAAACTGAAAGTCCTGTTGTGCAATAAGATTTCCAATGGGAAGACATGTTTTTCAGATGTACAAAGTTTAACTAGGAGGAAGAAAATTAAACCCAGCTTAGTTTCATTAGACCTTAAGTGTGGTTAACAGCATAAGTTTTACAGTAAAATGTATCTATCTGACATATTAAAATAAGTGTCAACTGTATTATAAATTAGTTGGGTGTAGTAGCTACGATTCTAGTTTGAATATGACTTAAACCCCTCATCAGCCAAGAAGTATACTAAGAATGTGTAGAAAAGCTGGTATCTGCTATATTCCAGTACCTCAAATTTGGATAGCTTAATTTGCACATTATGCAAATACCATGCAAATTATTAACTAATTATGCAGATCACATGGTAGTTTCAAGAATAAAATACTGCTCTAAACTCCAAGGACAAACTTGACTACGGCTTGCAGTTTCTTTGGAGAGAAACAAAGCACAAGGCTGGGTTCAGACGCAACTCAAGGCCAGACCATGGTTTACCTCCTGGCAGTGTGGGTACAGCAGCAGGGAAGGAGTGATGCCCCAGCACACACTAGCGTGTTAAACTAAACTATGCTTAAATGGTGAACTATGGTTTTAAGTGATGTGTGAATGAGCTCAGGAGTCACTATGTGTCACTTTTACAAGTTTTATAGAATGCTCATAGGGAAGTATTAATTCTAAATTGCAGATAATATTAAAAGGAGAAATAATATATACCTACATTTTTAACTACATGCGTAAGTTTTTAATGTTTCAGGATTAGATAAAAGTGAGTGTTCACATGCCAAAGGTCGATCATTCTGATTGAATCTAATCTGAATTTTACTATTAATCATGTCCTGACTTAATTTCCTCAGCTACCATCTGTACATCAGAATCTAACTGTAATTTACTGAAAATTTTTTCTTCAAGTCTTATGAAAAAACTGCATGTTCAGAACCTAGTTGTGTGACATTCCACATATCCTACTTAATTAAATAGCATTAAAAGCACTCTGCTCCAGCTATCCTGCAACATGCCTCCCAGGCAACACACCAATGCTAACAGTGGTCATGGTATACACACCTAATAGTCTGACCTCCTTTTCCAACTAATTGCATTACAGAGCCAGCTGGCTCCAGAAAGGAGTTGTCTGTGTGATTGAAGAACTTCTGCTTGGGGTAGGCATGGCTGCTACTTTTACTGAGTAATGGCCAGTCCTGACATCCCCATTGTCTGCCTGACAGAGTGCCCATCCTAAAATCGAAGTTTTATTTGTAAATTAACCAAGAAACTTCCTGCCAGAACAGCACTGCCTGGAGACTGATAATGTGTGCCTTTCATTCCCTTTCACTCTTACTGTATTCACTGCCAATTTGTTTTCTGCTGCCAGCCAGCCTTAGGCTATAAAAAGCCTTGTAAGACATAAGTGCAATTATAGTCCTAGAGTCAAATGAATTGAACAAATCCAATAGCACAGCTCTGTCTCCACTTTGCAAACCCCTACAGCAGTGAGATTAGCTGCTAAAAATCTAATCTAGCTATAACTAATGAATTTCTTGAGTAAAGGAGCAAGAGTTCAGTAGGGGGTTGTACCCAGCTTTCTGAACTGAGAAGCTCTTTGCAGCTAATTGTATATAAAAAAGCAACATACAGCTTTGACAAGAAACTATTAGGATGTTGCTATTACTATTCATTTCCATTGTGGCTGCAGGATGTCTGGATGAAACAGTAATACTATTCATAATGATAAATCATTGGATTCCAAAAGGTATTGCTGAATATGTCTTATTTTCAAAAGAAAAAAATATTTCAGTAATGACAATCATTTTGCAGCTAACACCATGTATTATATATTTGTAAGCACAAAAATGTGATTTCTAAATATGTTACCCTGTACTAGAATATGTATTAGGATATGCTCCTAATTATTTCACTTTATGACAATATACATTCATTAGAATTCTCTACTTATTTTACAAAACACATGTGGGAACAACTACTTTTCATTAAAAATAGAATCTCTAATAATTATTGCTATGACATCTGTCTTATTCTGTGGGTCACAAAATATGCCGCCTGCTGCAGAATGGTCACATTTAAAGGCAGCTTTTCTGGCCGGCAGGTGGTATGACCTTCTGTCATGCTATTGAGTTTGTCAGCTAAGCAAGTTGTTCAGAATTTTGCTTATTATGCTTGGAAACGGGCAAAGAAAAAAACAGGACACAAAACTGGTCAGAGTGCAAGTTATTACCTGAACAGCTCAAAAGACTCAGAGATATATTCAATATACCTTACTAAAAACCCAAAAGCAGTCTTAAAAGTGCCAGCTTCAGCTTCCAAACATCTGATTGAAAATAATCAGAATTAAATTAGTCATCAGACTCCTGAAAATAAACTTTGAGTGTTTTGTGCTAGTTAACAGAGTGCAATCAACGTATGATTTAATTTTCTTATACCTGACCTTAGTAAATAACTGTTCTCAATTTGTTTTTTTAATTATCTTGTAATTGTGTTCACAATTTTTCATTGCTCCTTATCCAGATAGTAAGCACTGCTGAGTGTAATTTGTAATGACTATAATATGTAAATCAAAGTGAAAGTGTAAAATTAAACATTGTTTAAAAATAAGAAACTGCACAGAAGTAAGGAGAGGTTAATGCAGAGAAGAGCTTCTGTGTAAATGCAGTGTGTGGGTAGTTCCAATCAATGATCTTTGGGTGTTCATATGCATAAGAGTGTCCATCGGTCCCAACTCCCTGGGGCCCTGGAAGCCTGAGCACCCACAAAATTCCCCATGAAGGGGCCAGGCACCCACAAATTTCGGGCATGGCCCATGGTCGTGGTGCCAAGTTGGCACTCCTGAGTGTGTCCCTATTTTCATTTTTGAAATGATGGCGGGTTTGTGGTTTTTAGAAAATATACCGGCTAAAGGTGTGAAATGGAGAATGCTTCCTTGGTCTTGTTTGATCACTTGTTTTGCAAGAGACAGAAGCAGCTGGAGTGGGGGAAGGGGAGATTTCACTCTCTGGTTTATTGTTTGTGGCATTTATACAGCCAGCCCAAAAGAGGATTAGAGTGGTTTGAAAGAGCAGACAAAGAAATACTATTAAAGAAAGCAAAGGTAAGTAGGAAAAGCCACAATATATGGAGTGCCTTTTATTAGGATCTGTGTCCCTCCTGTAAACAGCTCTGCAACAACAGATGGAAGAGACTTTCGTTTTCCAGTGCTGCCTTGGGGCACATGCCATTACTGCTTGGGAACATTACTTTTTCCCTCTTTTTCCTGTGAAAATCTGATGTTGCAGTTTCAGGAACAGGCAATGGAAGGTCTGTAGATAGTGCCAACTTCCAGATTGGCTGGGGTGGTGGTGGTGTCCTGCATTAATAATCATTGCTCTTTCACTGTCAGCTACAAATGGAATTGCAACTGGGCTTCCACATGACAGGTTATATCGTACTTTCTGAGTATGCTCATCTTTCTATGTTCCATCTACACCAGCTGGTGTGACATAGCTGATGTGGGTGGGAAAGTCCAATTTAACGGAGTCGTCAACTAAAGCTCCATGCACATGATGAAAAACAATCTTTTCTGCCATTGCCACTAACCACATTCTTGAAAAGGCAATCTCTGGAAAGGGTTGTTGTTGTTGTTGTTTTAGAAGGCATCATAGTGTTATGGTGCTATAACACACTTTAATTCAAGTTGCTTTTTTCTAATATTGTAAAAAATGTAGCTGGAAAAGCATTTTTACACTAACTGAAAAATCAGTTAAAAAATAAACAGGGTAATAAAAGGTGCCTATTACATTATAGTCTACTTTCTGACCGTGAGAGCTTTTCAACAATGGAACAGTCTCCCTCGGGCGGAGGTGGACTCTCCTTCCTTGGAAGTTTTTAAGCAGAGGCTGGATGACCACCTGTCCTGGATGCTTTGGTTGAGATTCCTGCATAGCAGGGGGTTGGACTAGGTGACCCTAGGTGTACCTTCTAACTCTACAATTCTATGCTTCCATGAATGTGTGCTGAACTGTGATAGTTTCCCTTGTCCAATGTGTCCTGGCCACATCAAAGTCCCACCCCTTTAAGAGGATGCAAGAGTAGTGCTAAGGCAGCGTATGAAGGGAGTTGTAATACGACAACATCTAGAGAACACTTTGTTGGCTGCCCCTGCACTAACAGCATTTATACCTGTACAGAGATTGTACCAGTCTTCTGTTCTTTGGGAGAAAAGGGAGCATAAAGGCCCTCACATCTATCAAGGAGCACTTTGGAACCTGCCATTACTGTGACTTTTGAGGTGGAAGAGCTTTTGTGAATGGAGGGGGAAGGATTTCATTTGATTCTTGCTTTTATGTACATCTTTTACATTGCTTGTGAAAGATTTGAAGCATCAGAAGGAACAAATTGCCCAAATTTCACAAGTGAGGGACAGAGGTAATTCGTTGTTGAACCAAGTACAACAGCCTTACAGGTATCTCATTGAGTTTGTACAAGAGAGAGATTCTCAGATACTTTGACAGAAAGAACATATTGCACAGCTTGAGAAGGATTTTTGTCTTTTAAATAAAGAAAAGGTGACTTTGCTTCATATCAAAAATCAAATGGCAGCAGATTTAGAAAGACTTCTAAATCACCATGAGTACAGACCCAGGTCATTGGGCTTGAGCTTCTACAGCCGCTGCCTGCCATGAACCACCATGACAGGACTGGCAGCAGCAGCAGCAGTTATGTTCTATGCTGTTGATAATACGTTATCCTGTTGTCAATTATACTGTTTTAAATGTGCATTTTATATTTGACTTCCTTTAGTAATGCTTTCATTTGAAATGTTTAAGATAATATTTTAGTTTCTTGTTAATTATGTTGGTTTGAATGTATACTTTATATTTGTTATATAATCTTTAGTAATGTTTTACTCTGGATTGTTTTATTTGATGTTTTAATGTTGTTGTAAACTGCTTTGAGATTTTTTCTTAAAAATATGAAGTGGTATAGAAATGAAATTAAGCAAGCAAGCACCTCCGAAGTATGCCATTTTATTTAAGTTCTGAACCAATTTCTGTGCAATTCAAGTTCTGCATAAAACATTTGAAAATTTCCCTGTCCACATGATCCACAGCAAATATATTTAAATGAGCACTATATTGTAGGACTTTTAGTTCTATGTTTACCTTTTTGGTCAGTGAGTCATCTGAATCAGAGGGCATTCGTGTAGAAACATGGAAAATAACTTCTGCAGTAGATGTAGCATAATAGGGTGCCGTTTGGCCTGTGCTGCCATTACGCTGAAGGCCCCCCATAAATCCACAGTGAGTTGAAAGATCAACCTTAATTAATCAAGTAAAAACAAAGAATTTACTCTCAATCTGCAATCCTAAGAAATTCCAATTAAACTAATGAGGCATCTCCATGAAAATAGGTTTAGAATTTACATTTAGTGACAATTTTAACACTGGAGATAGAGGTATTGTTTGCTGCATATTAAAATGTAGTATTTTTATAAACACTTAATTTCTCAAAAATACATTATTAAAAAGAGTTTCTTAGTCTTTCACTGAACTGTTTGACAAAGATAGCCTCTGAAATTGAATCATTTTTGTGTTTTTCTTGTGTCTAAAAATCATACAATTGTATATTTCAGTGATCTCAACAATAGAGTGCGTAACATGAAGTTCACTTCTGAAGCTTACTTCAGCAACTATAATTTACATTTTAGTCCCTGCAGAGCAAGGGCCTGCATTTATGCTACTCTGTAAAGCACCATGAGCATTGATGCAGCTTAATAATAAGTAACATTTCCCCCGAAACAGAAATCATAAATGCATAGGGCCAACAGAATAGAATCTCTCACACATCAGCTGCCTCCAGACCTGTTTATCACAGAAGCCACAGCTCAAAATATGTCATCAAACAAGCCACTTCCCATGTTCCAGTAAGAGAGCCAAGCTGTCATGTGTCAGGACCTGGCATAGGAGCCATCTTCACGGGAACCTTGGCCTCCACCATCTTTTTAAGCAGGGGCCAAGCCCCCCACCCAAGGTTGAGGGGGAAGAGGAGCCCCCCTCCGGAAGATGTGTGCTCAACCACCTGCTTGCCCCACCCCTGCCGCAACAACCAGGCCAAGGCCTCCACCATGAGGCCTGCCACAGCCACACTTGTGGAAGCACACCTGCAGCCCCAACGGAGGCCCTGCGGCGGAGGCCCCCACCCAGCTGCTGTGGCGCCCAACTTCCAGCACAAGGGCCACTGGGTTCTCACAATCTGGGGCCCAAGTCAGTGCCTCTGGTCCCTGGCATGTTTGTTTAGGCTCTACTTCAAGTCTGCCACTGGCCCTGCATTGCAAGAATAAGTGGGCGACTGCCAAACAGTTGAGAAGTTGCTCCATTGCTCCAAATATGGCAATTAATTCATGGGCTGACACTGATTTTATCACTTCAAAATTAAATATTTGGCTAATAATTACCTCCCAGCCAAGACCAGCAACAAACTCTTCATATGCTTGGCTCCCTTTTGAATTGGACAATATTGAACATTTATCTTCCTGTCCTTCAGCAATGTAAAATACTGCAATCTTGTGAGTTTCCCGGCTACAATTGGAAATAACAAAAAACCCAAAGCAACCATAAATGAAACTATTAACATTGATTTTTGTAAATATGTGAATATTCTGAAAATGACATGTGATATGAAGTAGGGTCACGCTAAAATGTTTTTGAATGATTTTCAGGGGAGAGTGAACTTACCCACAGCAAGGGTGGAGTTGGTAGCTTCCACTTTCCCACCTGAATGGCCTAGACACAGGGTTGGGGGAAAGCGGCAGCAGCCATTTCTTTCCTGAAATGCTTTTGAACAACACTATGTCCAGGGAATTCAGAGATAAAAGAGTGGCTGCTGATAAGAGCTCCGCTGCCAGAGGCAGAAACATCCCCTCACAAGATACTCATACCATGTGCCACCTACCATCCTCCCCACACCCAAATTTTACCCTCTTCACCATGACGCTCCAAATTTTGAGCCATTTTTTAATAAAAAAAATCACTCTGAACATTCCGCTTGGCCCTGGTGTCTTGCAGTACTGTATTTTTATTTATTAAATTTTTATCTCATCTTTCTCAAAGGAGTCCAGGGTGACAAACACTGAAGTGATATAAAACATGGCAGTGAAATTAAAACACTTAAAAATAAATACTTAAATGCATCAGGCTTACAAAAGAGTAAAGTATGGATTTTCAGCTGCAACTACCAATGAAAATAGGAGTGAACTCTAGTGAAATAAACTGAGATAAAAGTATAATGGTGGCCGGCTGACCATACCCAACTTTCACATACAGTGATTTGCACAAATCACTCTAAAACGAAAACTCTCTCTCTTTGTTTGCATCTGCATGTAATGCTAATCCATAATTTAGTGACACATGCAGGCGTAGGAAGGAACCACACTGCACATCCTCCTTCCCTCTATTCTACTCATGTGCCCCAATCTCTGCTGTCTTAAATCTTGGCTTGTCATGTTGATTGGACCAGGGATTGTGACTTCTCTCTAGCTGCAGTTAATTTCTAAAACAGCCAATAAATCTGGCTTGTTTAAACTCTCAAGTTAGGTCCAGACTCTCAAGTCCCTGGTCCAGACAACACAACATGCCAAGAAGGATGGAAATGGAAATGCTGCCAAAATCCACCTCAAGGCCAAATAATAGCAAGAATGGGCAATTTGGAGCACATGTGGCAAAGGTTTGCTGCAACTCGTTCCCCATCAGGTACATCTTACTAAACCTTGGTTTTGTGTGGTGTGCAAATGCCGCCTGTGTGCACCATATTTTAAGATCATTTAAAGAATACAGTGTATGGTATTTAACTAAATTTTACCCAGGGTAGACTCACTGAAATTAGTTAACACATATAAACTAGGCACATTAATTTTAATTAGTCCACTCTGAGTAAATCTTAACTGAATATTATCAAATAAAATAGTAAATCAATGATATTCATAAAAGCAGAAAAAATATAGTTCATTCTTAGAAACTGCCAGAGAGCCACAATCTGGCCTCCTTACTCACAATAGTGATGCAGTTCCTATGTGCAGTTGGGCCCAGGACCAAACTTTCTGAATAAGAGATGTAGCAGACAGTAATGCAAAGGAAGTCAGCCAAAGGTCTACAAGAAGGGTTCTGGCTAAGATAGGCTCCACAAGGAGTCAATAGCACCCACATTGTAGGCAAATGCAATGTAATGGTTAAGAAGCTACATAAGATGGGCTACCAAGAATTGGATAGTCAACTTAGCAAAGATGAAGCTATTGGCATATGCTGCAACATGCTACAATTTTTGAGTGCATATACTGAAGGAGGTGCCTAAAGAACAGTGTGCTACTTACATTTGAGGTCTTCAATTGTAATGGAATTGTTTTCCCATTTCTGCCCTCTATTTAAATCTGGCTTTCATATTATGTATGTAGTGAATCTTTATTGTGGAATAATATGCTACTAATTATTGCTAAGACTCCTTTTGTTCCTTTATTTTAGAAAACATCTACCTCACCAAATTCATATTTGGTACTACTTAATTCTCAATTAGATCTTTGCACCCTAAATTGACCAAAATAGGATTTTTGAGTGAGTGCAAATGGGAGCCACCAGTCCTGGTCACTTATTATGCCCTCTCTTCAAATGACAGAAAGAGTAGAACATAGGAACTTACTAAGCCACCTTATACCACTGCAGACCATTGGGTTATGCAGCTCAGAATTGTCTACACTGACAGGCAGAAACTCTACAGGATTTCAGGTAGGGAATCTTTTTCCAGTCCTACCTGGAGTTGCTGGGGATTCAACCTGGGACCTCATTTAGGAAAACAGATGCCCTACCAGTGAGCTTTAGTCTTCCGTGTAGAGTGAAAGCGCACACATATACACTGTGCTTTTCCAAGAGATTTATGTCAAAATCAGATTCAAGAGAATTAATCTGAGCCTTGAAAAAGAGCTGAAAGACTTCCTCCTTCAGCTCTATGTACTTTTCAAGACAGAACCCCCCCCCCCATCTCATGATGAAGGGAGCAGGGGATTTTAGAGGCTTCATGGACACCAGGGAAAGGATTCACAGGTACCAGGTTGGTGCTTATGAATTTTAGAGGCTTCACGGGCATCTTGCTATTGACCCTGGGCCAAAATACTGCTTGGAGAGCTCTAGTTTACGCTTAGTTTATGCCCCAAATTCTACATCTTAAGCTTTTCTTCATAGCTTTTCAACAAACTGAGTCAAAGTTAAAATTTAGACCCTCCACAAATTTAGTACTTGAAGCCAATCCAAAATTGTTTAAGGATCAAATGTGTTCTAATATGGAATTTCTTCAAAAATACCCACTTACAATTCCTATTTAAATTGGACCAGCTACAACAACATATAATATTTAAATAAAAATAAACCTAACACATTTCAGTTTTCCATAAACATAAAATAATAAACTGGACCTCATTCTGTAAATGTATCCGTTAGTAGTTGCCTAGCTAAAAACTTAACTCACCATTGCCTCGAGTCCAAGTTTTTCAGCTCTCTCAACAATTTAGAATTTTTCTTCAGTAGATGAAAGCTTTTTCTACGGATATATGGAACATGTTATGGTGGGAAAGCTCCACGATACATAAACATTTTAATTTCCAGAAATCTCTCGAGTAACCAACAGGGAAAATTATAAAAGCATTTACATTATATAATTTTGAAAACATCAATATATTTATTACAATAAAAAGCCTGAAGTTTGAATTGTTGTTTCCTCCACCTGCCAGTAATCCATCATTCCAAATCCATTTCCCAACCCACTACTATCTCCTGGGAGTCATTCAGGATACAAAATCCAGATTACTTGGGTGAAACAGAGTCCTGCTGCGCCATGCAAGTATGAGGAGCGCTTGACTGGCCAGTATGTTCTCAGTCCTTCTACTATTTGTATGCAACTATAAATATGTAAATATGTCATCTTTCCCTTTTCAAAGTAGAATATAACCCCATCCCACAAAATTCCAACTGAAAATATGGTAAAGTTGAAACCAGATCTTTCCAAATTATTCCCTACCCCCCTTTCTTTCCTTTGCAAAGGCATGGGGAAATAGTTTTCTGACTGGGGAACGGCGGGGAGATCTCTGGAGTCAAATGGCATTTGAGAAACACAGAACAATACAGTGGTACCTTGGGTTAAGTACTTAATTCGTTCCAGAGGTCCGTTCTTAACCTGAAACTGTTCTTAACTGAAGTACCACTTTAGCTAATGGGGCCTCCCGCTGCTGCTGCGCCACCGCCACGCGATTTCTGTTCTCATCCTGAAGCAAAGTTCTTAACCCGAGGTACTATTTCTGGGTTAGCGGAATCTGTAACCTGAAGCGTATGTAACCTGAAGCGTATGTAACCCGAGGTACCACTGTACTAACAAAGAGTCTTGTGGTGCATTAAAAACAAACAATGGTATAATGGCATATGCTTTTATTAACTAGAGACAATAGTCCAGTGATTCACAAACTTTTCTTCTCAAAGACCACTTGAATATTGCCAAGTCTTGACTGACTGACTTGTGTTGTGCTAGCTGCTGTATGATTTTTAATTGTACAGTGGTACCCCGCAAGACAAATGCCTCGCAAGACGGAAAACCCGCAAGACGAAAGGGTTTTCTGTTTCGGAGGCGCTTCGCAAGACGAATTTCCCTATGGGCTTGCTTCGCAAGACGAAAGCCCATAGGGAAATCTCCGGGGACCTGTTTTAAATTGCTGGCGGTCGGGAGCAAAGACTTTCGCCCACAGCCGGCCTTCAGAAGAGGTCCTGGACCTCTTCTGAAGGCCGGCGGGGGGCAAAAGTCTTTGCTCCCCCCCGCCTGCCTTCCCGGGACAGCGGAGACTTCTCCGCTGCCCCGGGCGATCTTAAAATGCTGGCGGGCGGGAGCGAAGCGTTCGCTGCCGACCCCCAGCATTTTAAAATCTCCCCGGGACAGCAGAGAAGTCCCGCCCCGCTCGGGATGGCGGCGCAGAGCTGTCTGCCGTGCCGGGATCAGCGCAGCTCTGCGCGGCCATCGGGAGCCGGGGGCGAAGCCCGCCCCGCTACAGATGGCCGCGCAAAGCTGCCTGCAGTCCCGGGACTGCAGGCAGATCTGCGCCACCATCCCGAGCGGGGCGCTAAGTCCCGCCCCGCTCTGGATGCCAGCGCAGAGCTGTCTGCCGTCCCGGGACTGCAGGCAGATCTGCGCCACCATCCCGAGCGGGGCGCTAAGTCCCGCCCCGCTCGGGATGGCGGCGCAGAGCTGTCTGCTGTCCCGGGATCAGCGCAGCTCTGCGCGGCCATCGGGAGCCGGGGCGAAGTCCGCCCCGCTCCAGATGGCCGCGCAAAGCTGCCTGCAGTCCCGGGACTGCAGGCAGATCTGCGCCACCATCCCGAGCGGGGCGCTAAGTCCCGCCCCGCTCGGGATGGCGGCGCAGAGCTGTCTGCCATCCCGGGATCAGCGCAGCTCTGCGCGGCCATCGGGAGCCGGGGCGAAGCCCGCCCCGCTCCAGATGACCGCGCAAAGCTGCCTGCAGTCCCGGGACTGCAGGCAGATCTGTGCCGCCATCCCGAGCGGGGCGCTAAGTCCCGCCCCGCTCTGGATGGCGGTGCAGATCTGCCTGCCGTCCCGGGATCAGCGAAGCGTTCGCTGCTGACCCCCAGCATTTTAAAATCTCCCCGTGTCCCGGTGAGATTTTAAAATGCTGGGGGTCGGCAGCGAAGCCCTTGTTCCCCCCCAGCCCCCCCCAGCCTTCAGAAGCCCTTGTTCCCCCCCCCAGCCTTCAGAAGAGGTCGGGGGACAGACTGTCCCCGGACCTGGTCTGAAGGCGGTTTCCCTAGGAACGCATTAATTGATTTTCAATGCATTCCTATGGGAAACCGTGCTTCGCAAGACGAAAAACTCGCAAGAAGAAAAAACTTGCGGAACGAATTAATTTCGTCTTGCGAGGCACCACTGTATTTTTATTTCTTATATATTGCATTTTATTGATAAATTTTATTCTATCAATTTTCAGTTCATTTATTTGGATAAATTTAACTTCCTAATTCTAGCTTCCAATTATGCTACTAATTCTCTCTACTCCTTTCAAGCTTAATAATGCATGAAGAAAAACATGAAAGGATGGGGAAATTTGTTCTTTTTTTGGCGATGTATTTCCATTACCGGAAGCAAATATTTTATCAAGGCTAATTTTAGCCTCCCATCAGGTAAAAGACACAAAAGAATGGCAATAGCTCATTAGTGAGTTCATCTGGCACGATAAAAAGTCAGAGTTTTAAGCTGTTTCTATTTTATTTGTAAGCCGCCTTGAATCCCCGTAAGGGAAAAGGCGAGATATAAATAAATAATGTTGTTGGCATCCAACTGTCTTGAGAGACAATGGCGTGTGCCTCCAGGGATGAAGTCAAACTGCTGCATTAACAGCACTGAGGTGACCTCCCTGGAGTGCAAACCTGGGCAGTGTTTATTATAAAGTAACAACAACAGTTGAGTGCAACTACTATGTACAGAAAAGGGGCTTTGCATTTGTGTTTCAGTTGTCCCATCTCTTGACTCTTTTTTACTGTTTCCTCTTTCTGGCTGCTAATCCTGTCAACTCCTTACAAGTGGGCTCCTCTTTCTTCCTCTTGCTCTGTCTTTCACACTTCCGTTCACAGTGGCTCTTCCTGCTATTCTTTACAGACATGCTGCAGACCACCTGCATATATCCTGTGGACCACTGGCAGTGTGTGGACCACAGTGTGGGACCCCCGCTGTAGTAGTAGTAGTTATTTTTATTATTATTATTAGTAGTAGTAGTAGTAGTAGTAGTTTCCAAGTCACCTTCAAAGAGCTAAAAGAAACTCTGCAAATCTAGCTTCTGGCCAGTCTGGGAGCCCGGAAGCACCCTCCCTTTCAAAAGATTTTCTGCTTTCCACTGGGTAGAGGTGCTTTTCTGAAAATGGGGACTTCCATTTGGATGGAAAGATAGTATTATTTCTAATAATAACAGTAATCTAAAACCCTACTTACCTTTTGTCCCAAGAATTCATTCCCAAGTCATTTAGCAAGAGCCTACATAAGTGAAATGGTGCTTGGAGCTGTGCAGGTCTTGGTGCCTTTTGACTTTCAACTTTCATACTGAGATTGAAACTGCATCCATGTGCATACTCATTTTCTATGCAACTCTGCTGCATTATCGCTTCTAGTATATTTTTCTCTTGGTCATGGTTCATGACATATGGCGATGGCGATGGCTCATTCAATTTTAGTTGCGGGTGTAAAAGGCACTCAGGACTACTATTGCCAATCCTCTCTAGCAATTTATCAAGAGCATCTTCTCCTTCATATATTTGAATGAAGTCCATTGGAGGCTCAAAGTTCTGCTTATAATTGTCCAAAACTGCAGTGGATATTCTTTTATTTTGATTTGGTAGACTACCAGCTAATGGTCCATGCATCAGCCTTCCATCCCATGAATACTTCCCTGAGATATCTCTAACAATTACTCTTACTTCTGAGAATGCTGCTTCTGGTTCATTGTCTATCTCCTTTTCAGAAGGAATTTGAAGATAAGATATAAGAGTACTGTCATTAAATACAAACAGTTGTAAATTTGGGCTTCTGAAAACTTCAGAAGACAGTTCTGAAGAGTCCACGTATGAGTTGTTGTGATTCTCACTAATAAGGCTGTGAAGAACAGCAGGTCCTCCATTCAGGGGATAATGGCCCAAATTGTTTACTAGATGTGCCATTATCATTCGTGCAGTCAAAGGTATTAATTCCAAACTCCTCCTCCTCCTCTCTGAAAGTAATAAAAAATAAATAAGCAAAATAAGCCAACTAAAATATGCACAAAGATCAAGGTAAATCATGTTTATATATGGCTCTGAAATTTGGGGGATGATGCATACTCTGATTTGGAGTCAATCAGCACAAATTTTAGGATACTAGAAAGATCTAAAAGCACATCATCTGCAGTCTGGAAAGTAGAGAAAGACCTATTCCTAATATATTTGAGGATAGTGATTAGGTTATTTACTCACTGGTTGAATATTAAGCCAATGATGCAAATGAAGAATCAGGAATGTACTCCAATAAATTGATAAACAGTAATTTATTATCATTGTTGTTGTTGTTTGTTGTTGTTGTTTAGTCGTGTCCGACTCTTCGTGACCCCATGGACCAGAGCACGCCAGGCACTCCTGTCTTCCACTGCCTCCCGCAGTTTGGTCAAACTTATGCTGGTAGCTTCGAGAACACTGTCCAACCATCTCATCCTCTGTCGTCCCCTTCTCCTTGGGCCCTCCATCTTTCCCAACATCAGGGTCTTTTCCAGGGAGTCTTCCAGGGATCTGCCCTTCCAGTGAGCACTCAGGGCTGATTTCCTTAAGAATGTATAGGTTTGATCTTCTTGCAGTCCATGGGACTCTCAAGAGTCTCCTCCAGCACCATAATTCAAAAGCATCCATTCTTCGGCGATCAGCCTTCTTTATGGTCCAGCTCTCACTTCCATACATCACTACTGGGAAAACCATGGCTTGAACTATATGGACCTTTGTTGGCAAGGTGATGTCTCTACTTTTTAAGATGCTGTCTAGGTTTGTCATTGCCCTTCTCCCAAGAAGCAGGCGTCTTTTAATTTTGTGACTGCTGTCCCCATCTGCAGTGATCATGGAGCCCAAGAAAGTAAAATCTCTCACTGCCTCCATTTCTTCCCCTTCTATTTGCCAGGAGGTGACGGGACCAGTGGCCATGATCTTCGTTTTTTTGATGTTGAGCTTCAGACCATATTTTGCGCTCTCCTCCTTCACCATCAATAAAAGGTTCTTTGATTCCTCCTCACTTTCTGCCATCAAGGTTGTGTCATCTGCATATCTGAGGTTGCTGATATTTTTTCCTGCAATCTTAATTCCGGCTTGGGATTCATCCAGCCCAGCCTTCCGCATGATGAATTCTGCATATAATTTAAATAAGCAAGGAGACAATATACAGCCTTGTCGTACTCTTTTCCCAATTTTGAACCAATCAGTTGTTCCATATCCAGTTCTAACTGTCCCACATAGAGATTTCTCAGGAGACAGATGAGGTGATCAGGAACTCCATTTTCTTTAAGAACTTGCCATAGTTTGCTATGGTTGACATAGTCAAAGGCTTTTGCATAGTCAATGAAGCAGAAGTAGATGTCTTTCTGGAACTCTCTAGCTTTCTCCATAATCCAGCGCATGTTTGCAATTTGGTCTCTGGTTCCTCTGCCCCTTTGAAATCCAGCTTGCACTTCTGGGAGTTTTTGGTCCACATACTGCCTTGTAGAATTTTAAGCATAACCTTGCTAGCGTGTGAAATGAGTGCAATTGTGCGGTAGTTGGAGCATTCTTTGGTACTGCCCTTCTTTGGAATTGGGATGTAGACTGATCTTCTCCAATCCTCTGGCCACTGCTGAGTTTTCCGCACTTGCTGGCGTATTGACTGTAGCACCTTAACAGCATCATCTTTTAAAATTTTAAATAGTTCAGCTGGAATACCATCACTTCCACTGGCCTTGTTATTTGCAGTGCTTTCTAAGGCCCATTTGACTTCACTCTCCAGGATGTCTGGCTCAAGGTCAGCAACCACACTACCTGGGGTGTACAAGACTTTCTGATATAATTCTGGTATAATTCCTCTGTGTATTCTTGCCACCTCTTCTTGATGTCTTCTGCTTCTGTTAGGTCCTTACCACTTTTGTCCTTTATTATGGTAATCTTTGTACAAAATGTTCCTTTCATATCTCTAATTTTCTTGAACAGATCTCTGTTTTTCCCCATTCTATTGTTTTCCTCTATTTCTTTGCATTGCTCGTTTAAGAAGGCCTTCTTGTCTCTCCTTGCTATTTTTTGGAAATCTGCATTCAATTTCCTGTATCTTTCACTATCTCCCTCACATTTTGCTTGCCTTCTCTCCCCCGCTATTTGTAAGGCCTCATTGGACAGCCACTTTGCTTTCTTGCATTTCCTTTTCATTGGGATGGTTTTCGTTGCTGCCTCCTGTACAATGTTACGAGCCTCCATCCATAGTTCTTCAGGCACTCTGTCCACCAAATCTAAATCCTTAAACCTGTTCCTCACTTCCACTGTGTATTCATAAGGGATTTGATTTAATTACCGTATTTTTCCCTCTATAACACGCAGATTTTTTCTCCTAAAAAGGAAGGGGAAATGTCTGTGCGTGTTATGGAGCGAATGTGTGGTCCCTGGAGCCAAAAAATCAGGCAAAATTCAAATCGTGAGTCACGGAGAAGGGAAACCTGAAAAGAGGAAGTGGCTGCTTTCCTGCATTCTGCCTCAGGGTCTTACTGCCCACCCGCCTCTGTTTCGTTGCTGTGATTGCTGAAACGGAACAAAGAGCAGGGAAAGCCCCTCCCCTCCAGGCAAGCAGAGTGTCGTTCGTTCTAATTCCTCTCTGTGCTCCGGTGCTGCTGGGGGAGAGGGAGAGAGAGGGGGGGAGGGAGAGGGAGAGGGGGGAGGGAGAGGGAGAGAGAGAGAGAGAGAGAGAGAGAGAGAGAGAGAGAGAGATGGCTGGCTTGGGGGGGAACTTTTGCCTTTCTTTCCTCCCACCCGTTAAATCCCTCTCCAGCATTCTTAGCCAGCTGCTTCTCTGCACACCCCTCTCATGTCCCTTCTTTGTTTTTCCTTTGTTCCCCACTTAAAATGTGGTTACAAAGCATAGATCAACATGGATCCTCAGGATCTTTGCATTGGGTCACCCCAAATTCACCATCAGATCACATAGCATGTCCATGGCTACAGCCTGCCCCCCCAAAATCACGCACCCATTGTTGCCTGGGGCTGCAATGGTGCAAAACGTGGTTAAAAAGCATGGATCCACATGGATCCTCAGGATCTTTGCATTGGGTCACCCCAAATTCACCATCAGATCACATAGCATGTCCATGGCTACAGCCTGCACCAAAAAAATCACGCACCCACTGTTGCCTGGGGCTGCAATGGTGCAAAACCGTGGTTACAAAGCATGGATCCACAGGAATTCTCAGGATTTTTGCATTGGGTCACCCCAAATTCACCATCAGATCACATGTCTGTGGCCACAGCATGAAGCACAAAAATGATACATCCACTGTTTCATTCAGAATGTTTTTTCCCTTGTTTTCCTCCTCTAAAAACTATGTGCGTGTTATGGTCAGGTGCGTGTTATAGAGCGAAAAATACGGTATATCTTACCGGCCCAATGGTTTTTCCTACTTTCTTCAGTTTAAGCTTGAATTTTGCTATAAGAAGCTGATGATCTGAGCCACAGTCAGCTCCAGGTCTTGTTTTTGCTGACTGTATAGAGCTTCTCCATCTTTGGCTGCAGAGAATATAATCAATCTGATTTCGATGCTGCCCATCTGGTGATGTCCATGTGTAGAGTCGTCTCTTGTGTTGTTGGAAAAGAGTGTTTGTGATGACCAGCTTGTTCTCTTGGCAGAACTCTATTAGCCTTTGCCCTGCTTCGTTTTGAACTCCAAGGCCAAATTTGCCAGTTGTTCCTTTTATCTCTTGATTCCCTATTTTAGCATTCCAATCCCCTATAATGAGAAGAACATCCTTCTTTGGCATCATTTCTAGAAGGTGTTGTAAGTCTTCATAGAATTGCTCAATTTCAGTTTCTTCAGCACCAGTAGTTGGTGCATAAACTTGGATTACTGTGATGTTAAAAGGTCTGCCTTGGATTCGTATCGAGATAATTCTATCATTTTTGAGTTTGCATTCCAGTACAGCTATCGCCACTCTTTTGTTGACTATGAGGACCACTCCATTCCTTTTATGGGATTCTTGCCCACAGTAGTAGATATGATGGTCATCCGAACTGAATTCGCCCATTCCCGTCCATTTTAGTTCACTGATGCCCAGGATGTCAATATTTATTCTTGCCATCTCATTTTTGACCACATCCAACTTACCAAGGTTCATGGTTCTTACATTCCAGGTTCCTATGCAATATTTTTCTTTTCCTTTCGCTTCCAGGCATATCCGCAACTGAGCGACCTTTCGGCTTTGGCCCAGCCGCTTCATCAGCTCTGAATCTACTTGTACTTGTCCTCCACTCTTCCTCAGTAGCATGTTGAATGCCTTCCGACCTGAGGGGCTCATCTTCCAACGTCATAACTTTTATATGCCTGTTGTCTTTGTCCTTGGAGTTTTCTTGGCAGGGATACTGGAGTGGCTTGCCGGTTCCTGCTCCAGGTAACTTCCCTGGTATCTCCAAATAAGCATTCCTCCCCAGGACGCCCGGAGTGTAGGGTAAAGTGCTGTAGTGATAGAGGCAATCAGGCGGAGATACCATGCACAAGTGAGGTCTCCTGCTCATCCAAGCTACCTCCATCTAGCTATGGACCTTCTGATATCTTAATAGCATAGGCTAAACCTAAATAGTAAATGTGTTATAGCTAGATAAAAGTTCTTGCAAAACACCCACTTTTCTCATAGACAGCTCTCTAGAACTGTCTCTTAATGTATTAAAGCTAAAATGTCTTGCTGTTCTTCAAAGTAGATCCTGGATTCAAGATGGTGACGACAATGGCAGCATTAATGGCAGTTTTATGGTTTTAGCGCCATTGTTTTAAATGTTTTTAAACGTTTTACAGCTTAGGTTTATTGCTGCACCATTCTTCCCACCTTATTCAATTTACTTCAAAATATTTATTACCTTCAGCAACAGTGAGTAAGTTGCTCAGATCCGCAGAAGACTGAAACTGCATGGGTTCAGAATTCCTAACATTTCCAAGTGGCAAAAATGGATCATAGATATCACTAGAGAGGTCTGCAAGGCTTAAAAGGTAATGGCTTTGCTGTGTATATGTGTTTGAGCCATGAACACAACTATGCAGGACCTGGAAAAAGCAAAAGGAAAATGAGAAATAGATTGTAACAGAAAATACTATACTATACTGTTGTTCAGTAGGTTGCGCGTTGGCCATATCCAAAACTTCTCCAATGGTACCACAAACATTAAAAAAATAAATGTGACAAATAAATACTTGTTCTTGGGAGCTTCAGCTAGAAGCTGAAGTGAAGCAGACAGGGTCTCTTGGCCCGACAAAGGCATTGAGCCAGGTCAAATGCAAGACATCATGATGCCTGCTAATCACAGGGGCCAAGACTGTACACTTCCATTCCCTTTGTGCCTGAAGCAGGCTCTAAAGCTATCTGAGAATAGTCTCAGATAGTTCACTTGATTCCTGGTTCAAATGAAATGACAATTGCATTAGGGATGGCATGCCCAACATTTTGTCCTGAATAATGTCATCACAGCAGGATGCCACTTTTTCAGGATCTAGGTCTATTCTGCTTCCGCCATGTCTGAACCAAGCAATAGTGGAAAACCTCTAGGCATCAGAGGTTGGTCACCAAGCTATCCATGCCCATCTTTTCTGTGTCTGATGTCGTATATGAATGACATCAGCCATGGTGCAGTTCAAGCCAAAGCTGCTGCGGAAGACTGCACTCTCAATTCTTCTTTTCCAACCACAAACTGAATTGAATCTGGGGCTCCAAAGAAATAATTGGGAACACTGCTCACAATTCTTTTTTCGCAGCTGCAGACTGAAGTTACAACCACGCAACACCATATTATTTATTTACTTTATATATTTAAAAGCATTTCAATATCACTTAATACAGGGGTTGGCAAACTATGGCCCCCGGGCCGGATCAGGCCCATGTCGCGAAGTTGGAACCTGCTGCGAAGCCGAGACTCCTGGCGATGGCGATGGGAGGAAGAGGCCAAGTGGCGGCGGCTCTGCCACTCAAACGCCGCACCTGGTTTACCTTAGCGGAGGTTTGATTGGCAGAGACATCCCCACGACATGCTGAGGTAAACCAGGCACGGCGTTTGATTGATAGAGCCAGTGCTGCTTGACCTCTTCTGCCTGCCACCGCTCAGCCTCTTCCTCCCGTCGCTGCCCTGGTGCTCCTGTGAGCTCGCTCTGGCTACCCACGAGAAGCAGGGGTGGTGATGGTAGCCCCTGGGAAGGTAAGTGCAGTGGCTGGGGCTGAGGGTGGGGAGAGGAGGACTACTTGCCCCTCTCGCCTCTTCTTCTAGCTCCCCCCCCGGTGCCGCTTCTCTGGCCAACCACAAGGTCTGAGGGACAGTAGACCAGGCCACTGCTAAAAAAATTTGCCAACCCCTGACTTAATATTTCAGAAATTTCGTAAGTGGTGTATAATCCAAAAAAACAAAGAAGACACCATTAAAACAATGGGCCCACGGATGTCAGGTGAGTGGCTCTGCCCACTTATCCTCCAGCTGGATCCAACCCCACCCTTCAGATAAAGGAATCATGTGGACACACTGAATGGCATGGTTCCTACTTGATCGACTCATTTTGTTTTCTTAAAAGTTGATTAAATGTTAAAAATGCAGCACAGTGAATAACAAAATAAAATTATGTATAATGCTTGGCAATGCTTAATTCCTAACGACCTTTGAAAGCGTGTGGAGGCTTGTTTGTCCAGGGAAAAAATGGAATCGTATAAAATAATGTATCCATTTAAAAACAGAGGATACCAATAGTTTGAGTACATTTATAAATAAGATTTTGCTTTTCCTAAATAAAGGATTTGAAAACAAATAGTTTCTCCACTCCCATTGTTTTGCCCAGACAATGAGGTCCAGCGCCGAGGGCCTTCTGGCTGTTCCCTCACTGCGAGAAGTGAGATTACAGGGAACCTGGTAGAGGGCCTTCTCGGTAGTGGCGCCCACCCTGTGGAATGCCCGCCCATCAGATGTCAAGGAAATAAACAACTATCTTGATTTTAGAAGACATCTGAAGGCAGCCCTGTTTAGGGAAGTTTTTAATATTTTATGTTTTATTCTGTTTTTTTATCCTTTGGAAGCAACCCAGAGTGGCTGGGGAAACCCGCCAGATGGGCAGGGTGGAAAATAATAATAATAATAATAATAATAATAATAATAATAATAATAATAATCAACTTTTTTGATTTGTCTCAGTAAGTACAAAATGATGTATAAAAAGATGCTCAGAAAGATGCAAAGGGCAGGAATGAGAAACCTGTTTCAGCCCAATATCCAGACTACAACTTTCCCAACCTTCCAGGGTTTACATTCCAATGGTGGATAGTGGGGGAAAGCTCAAAAGAAAAAATGTAGCACTCTTCCCCCGCCTCTCTCTCATGGGTTACATGCAGCCACAAACTCATGCATTCCCACAGGCAGGCAGGCAGGCAGGCGCGCACGCACACACAGCATTTCTGGCCCTTTGCACTACAGTGCTGGGGAGTAGGTGGCTGGAAAGATCATTCTGCCTGTTCTTTAGAGAGGTCTCTAAAGAGCAGACAGATGGATTTTTTATCTCTGCAGCTTAGCACTAAACACCACAATGCTAAGAGTGGAGATAAACCCTCTGCCTGCTCCTTAAAAGGCAGAATTTTCACCCACCCCAGGACTGGAGCATGGTCGGGAGAAATGCTGCCTTTTACTGCTAAAGAGCACATGAAGTCAGGTGATTGGCTGGTGGACACCATTTCTCCCTAATGGACTTAATTAGGTTCATGGGCTGGGGTTCTCTACTGCTACTGTAGGGGTTAGTTTCCACTCAAATCCATTGAATCAAGCAATCTGAATAAGACACAAAATAAGTTAACATTTTTTAGGATTAATGGATTTAATCAAATCTAGCTCAAAAGCAGACAATATCCCACTAATTTACTGCTTAATAATTGTGCCTTTGATCACAACAAACAACACAATTAAGCAATAGGAGGAGAAACATGTACTTACCCTATATATGTAATCAAGCAATGGAGCTTTAGAAGAATGTTGATCTTCAAGACTTGAAGTAAACACAGGCTCCAGCAGCATTTTCATGGGTAATGTCATACACCAGTCCAACAAACAAAGTAATAACGAAACTATAAACTAAATCAGAAATATGTAGATTACATTAGTTCTACTTAGAAAATATGAAAAACTTGATAAAGTAAGGGAAACCACATATGCAAATGAACGCTGCATGTAAGCTTCCTTGAGCTGATTCGTCAGATACTAAAAGTCAGTCTGTTACCATTGATGTTAATATGAATAAAGATGTATGTATATATTTGTTCCACTATAAGTCTTCACAGAAATATTGACAGAATTTAGCCCATGTTAATTACTGCAAGTTTTCACCAGATATATGGAGCACTATTTAGGAATATACCTGACTATTCTGGTGCATCAGGTATGTGCCATATGTAATTAATATAAAAATAACAAATCCTCAGCCTGGATTCAGAGGAGCAATTTAGGAAGCTGAGGCCTGAGACTCCATGTAATTGGTGGATAAAAGAAAATGTAAATAAGTTTACTACTACAACATTAATAAATTTGGCGAATTTAAATTTCTTAAAAATCAGAACAGATGGGTGATCATTCTTTTAATTAATAAAATTTTTCCATTTTTAATGCTATTGCCACTTTAAGCCATGCTAAAGTCAAAACGTGCCTGACACCATCAGGATATACTAAGCCAGGGGTCGGCAAATTTTTTAAGCAGCGGGCCAGTCCACTGTCCCTCAGACCTTGTGGCAGGCCAGAGAAGTGGCACCGGGGGGGGGGGGGGCTGGAAGAAGAGGCGAGGGGAGCAAGCAGTCCTCCTCCCCACCTGCTGCGCTTACCTTCCCAGGGGCTGCCACTGCCACCACCACCTCGGCTGCTGCTTCTCGTGGGTCGGCAGAGCGAGCTCGTCCGCTCCGCTCTCTGGCCCACAGGAGCACCAGGGTGGTGGCGGCGGGGGGAGGAAGAGGCAGCGCCTGGTTTACCTCAGCGCAGTGACGTCTCTGCCAATGAAACGCCGCTGAGGTAAACCAGGTGCAATGTTTGAGTGGCAGAGCCGCCGCCGCTCGGTCTCTTCCTCCTGTCACCAACGCTTCACTGTTGGTTCCGGCTTCGCGTCGCAGGCCGGATTTAGGTCCCAGGTGAGCCTGATCCAGCCTGGGGCTGTAGTTTGCTGACCCCTGTACTAAGCACACCTGGATTATATGGATAACAGGGGTTTGGGCTCTGGCACTGACAGCCCGGGGTAAGATTTGGGTGAAACTCTGCAAAAAAAAACTTGCACAAGTTGTTCTGTTTGATGTTGAAAATATTGATTTCTTAATGCTGGGTTCAAAAAAATAGGGGTTGTTTTATACATAGGGGTGTCTTATACACCCAAAAATAAGGTATTCACTTGTGTATGTATGGACAATGGTGACATGCATAAAGTAATTGAGTTCATACACTGTACAGCTCCAGAAAAGTATTTCAGCTTTGGGGTATAATCTATGTTTATGTAAATGCTTATTCTTGTTGGATTTATGATGTGCTATCTTTTAGAAAAATAGAATTGTAGGATGGAAGAGACCCCACGGGTCATCGAGTCCAACCCACGCTGTGAAGCCAGAACCCGCCATGAAGCCGAGACTCCCGGCAATGGCGATAGGAGGAAGAGGCTGAGCGGTGATGGCTCAGCCACTTAAACGCCGCACCTGGTTTACCTCAGTGGCATTTGATTGGCAGAGACATCCCCATGCCGTGCTGAGGTAAATCAGGCGCAGCGTTTGATTGGTAAAGCCGCCGCTGCTCGGCCTCTTCCTCCTGCCCCTGCCGCCACCCTGGTGCTCCTGTGGGCCAGAGAGCGGAGCGGATGAGCTCGCTCTGCCGACCCATGAGAAGAAGCAGCAGCAGTGGTGGTGGCGGCAGCAGCCCCTGGGAAGAAAGGTAAGCTCAGCGGCTGGGGCTGAGGCTCTTCTTCTAGCTCGCTCCTGGTGCCACTTCTCCAGCCTGCCACGAGGTCTGAGGGACAGACCGGCCCGGTGCTAAAAAAATTTGCCGGCCCCTGATTTATACCCTGCCTTTCCCCCAGGTCTAGGACCCAAAGCAACTCACAAAAATTAAAACAAAAATGGAAAAAACAGAGATAGCTAATAACATATAAAAAATTATAGTTAAAAAGTAATCAAACTATAATAGAATTAAAACAATGTAAAAAGAAAATTATTAAAATGCAGACAGATAAACAGCACAGCACTTTGAAAATTTCTTCCTTTAAAAGCAGCCAGTTCTGCTGGAATAAAACACTCCTCACCTGCCAGTTAAATGGCACCCATCTAACTTCTCTAGGAAGGGAGTTCCAAAGCTGTCTCTTATGTCCTCACCAGGTATGCCTGTGAGGGTGGTGGGACTGAGAAAAGGGCCTCCATTGAAGATCTCAGAGCCCCGGCAGGTCCATATGGGAAAATACAGTCCTCAAACAGCCTGAACCTACGTCATACCAATATGTATATACACCTTACACAATAGTTATAAAAGGCACTTCACTTTATACACGCACTTGTGCTTTTTGTGCCTTCGTTTAATAGACTGAGAAGAGGTACTCTTTTTTGGTCTGGCTGTGAACAAATACTATCACCATCAGTCCAATTGTTTTGAAGAACTGCTAATCATCATTTTTGCAGTTTGAAGGAAGAACCAGGCCACAGCTATTCAAGCCCAGATGACTAAGGGTATGGCTCTATAGCAACAGGTTTTAGATTGGATTTTTCAGCCTGGGAAATATACACTGTATGTTTTCATACTCCCACCCACCACTGGATCATGGGAACAGTGTTTAAATATTAACTCCACAGTAAAAACCATCATACCAGGACAAACCATTGACAGTTTAATATTCCATACCTTTTTATCACCTTCCACGGAGGAGTATTCTGCACTAGGCAACAGAAATGCAATTGTGGCCACAAGGATCTGTGTAAATCCAATTTCAGAAGGATAAATTTACAGACATGTTCTATTTTCCAAAGTCATTCTCGAAGCAGGTGTCAAAAGTGTTAGTGAAATTTGAAGCTGACCTAGTTCATAAGAAAATAAATACCTACTATCTCCCATGTGTCCCATTCATCTTTCCCTCCACTTCTCTAGTACTACAGAAAAGGGGGGTGGGGAGAATAATCTTTCCAAATCTTACAACTAGAAACACACAAATTAAGCACACATCATGCAAACCTGCTTACTCTGCTTACAATTTAAATCTAGTTTTAAAAAGTCATCATGCTTTGGGCCAACAATTCAGCTAATACCATATAACTAAATTACATCAGTTGTGCCTGTAGATGTATACTAAATATATACTTAGATCTATCACCATATTTTTTGTGTATAAGACGATGTTTTTCGCTAAAGAAATTAGCCCAAAATAGAGGGTCTTCTAGCTCTAGCTGCTGGTTCTGCTTGGACCCCTTCTCCTGCTCCCTGTCGCTAGCTATCACTCACTCACTTGCCCTGATTGTCCTGTCTATGTCCCTCAGCGGTGGTGAATTAAGGGCTAAAAAAAAAAGCTTGTCTTATACATGGTGGTGTGTTATGCATGGTAAGTTTTTGTACATAATTAAGCATAGTATATCTGTTACTGAAAACAACACACACATTTTAAAGAGATAAACATACTTCAATAATTTTTCTGGGTAGCGAAGATTTGTATTTCACAAGTTTTTCCCAATAGGAGGTCAGTAACTGAAAGACATCACAGGCTTCCTGTGCTACCTGTTTGTTGCAAAACTAAAAAGAAGAAGAAACAAAACACCAATCATGAACCAACAAAAGGGAATACAAACAAACTGGAAACATTTCAGATACTGCAAATAGTTACTACAGATTCTTGTTTAATTAGTCCAGTTTGGAGAATACCACTTCCCACAATGAAGAGTTAATGCACAGTAGGAGAGCAGGCTCATATCTGGAATGTACAAAACCATTGTCAACCCTGTGTTCAGGACTGATGCAGGATAGCCCCAGCTGAAAGACCACAGATATCTATGTGTCATAGGCCTCTGCTCCCAGGCTACCTCTCCCAGACTCTGCCTTTATGTAGATAACTTTCATTTTAAAGGTACAACCATCTTGTCTGAACATGGGCACTCCTTCTGTGTTCCATAGTCTCTCCCAGGTGTACTTATTGCACTGTTGGACTGGTGGTGCTGCGAAAAGCATTTGTTTCCTCAAGCTCACGTGTCTGTAAAGGTCTTGGCTCTGACTCTGCAGGTTCTGGTGGTATGGGAGATGGCTCTGTGAGCTCCTGTCAGGAGCAGGCTCAGAACCCAAAACCCTATATGACTCCATAACTGGAGATGCTACAGCCTCAGACTCTGAACCTTAATCACTGCAAGATTCTGTCAAATATGTCAGCCAGCTACTGATCTACTGAGTGTGTAGAGGCCCCCCTGAGGACTGATTGTTTGGTAAAGGTATCTGGAAATTGTAGGTTTGGGGTACGTGCCTTTCCTGAGGTAGGCTTAATGGAGATTTTTTTCCTTAAGGAAGGAACTAAGGAAAGGGACAGAAAATAAAAATAACTAGTTGTCTTCTTTTTCCTCTTATGGAAAAAGTGTGTGCGCACGTGAGAAAGAAGAGCAAAAGAATGAACTCAACTAAGAGCTTCCGCCTCCTACCTGTTACCTGCTAGGCAGGCAAAGGCAGTGTGGAATGCTGAGTGTTTGTTGCAGATATTTATTAACATGCAGTTCATGCAATGTGACCTTGCCTATTGTCAAGAGGAGGTGCTGTCTTAGATGACTTCCTTCCTCTGGCACCTTGGAAACACATTTTTTTGTTTAGTTTTAAAAAATCATGTCAAGAAATTCTATGCTTTCCTCAACATTTTCATCAGAAAACAATAGATGCAGTGAGAAATATTGGAATCAAGTTGTTAGCTGCAATGCAACAGGGACTTAAATTGGAACGTTTCTTTCAGAAATGTCTCAGCAAGCATTTTATTGTCTTACGTACATAGCAACTGGTTTAATTTACAAAACTTCATAATTTGTGTTGACAGATTGAATTTGAGAATCTTCCAAACAGCTTAATAAAATATTCGAAGTATTTAAAACACTCTTTGGTTGAAGTCAAACCCCACAATTATGCACAATCAAGTCATACAAACTTGTGTCATACTGGTACCTTTAGTGTCACACCTAAAACATTTATTGCATCCTTTACTTGGGGATGGTTTGTACATTGCACAAGTTCCTCACATATCCAAAGCCCAAGGCAGCAAAGAGCTAAACACCTTCAAAACAAGAAATATACAAGTCAGTAAGCTATCATGTCCCTCTTATTTTTCAGTTCTATGAACAACTGAATTGTAAAAAGACAGCAACACATGTGGATTCAGATGGCTGCTGTATTATGTGACAATCTATACTCTTATACAGGACTTGATCCTAAATCCAGCTATAGTTCTGGCACAGCAGCTTCCTTTGGTCTTGTTTGGCCAATGATTCCTATGCTAGTGCTGTTATAGCGACATTAACAAAGGAAGCATCACTTTGTCAGCCACTGAATAGAATCAAGTGGTATTTAATAATAATAATAATAATAATAATAATAATACCTTTATTGTCAATGTACAACCTGTGTACAATGAAATTAACCGAGCCTCCCCCCCCAACCACTCAATTTCATTGCACTCTTTGTGCTTGTCGCACAACACACCAGTCAGTTGCACTATATTATTTTCCGTTCAGCAGCCTAACAGCCCACGGACAGAAATTGTTTTTTAGCCTGTTGGTACGACTGATTATACTTCTATATCTCCTGCCTGAGGGTGGAAGATTAAAGAGGTGCTGGTTGGGGTGTGACTCGTCCCTAAGAATTTTTCTCACTCTCCTAAGGTGATGTCATCTAGCGGGCTGAAGGGACAGCCTATGATATCATGTGCTGTGTTCACCACCCTCTGTAAAGACTTTCTGTCCGTGGCTGTCAACGTACCACACTGTGATACAATATGAGAGGACACTTTCTATTGTGGACCGGTAGAAGGAGGTCATCAGTTGTTGTTTAACACTGTTCTTTCGCAAGACCCTGAGGAATATTTCCAGTTGTAACCCACTTTCTGGGTTTATGACTGCACTTTAGTTACAGCGGACAAAGTAACAATAACATCAGGCAATTATAACCCTTCTACACAAATAATTTATTCTTCAATTTATATTCCATAATATTTTCTGTTCTATTCAGTATTTTACCTTGAAGCTTCACTTGGTTCATTTGCAGCATTCTTCAAAAGAATATTTATGAGGTAGAACTACAATAAAAAAATCATGACAGTAAGCAATTTACTTCAAACAAATATATTGCAGAAGAACTCTAATTTCTACCCTTAGTCAAATATAGTAAAATGGAGCAAATTTCATTGATCTCAATTTTATTACTTAAAATATTTAAACTGTTTTGTTTTGTTAACCCATCTGTAATCATTCCCTCTTGTTCTTAGTGGAAATTCTGCAATTAATTCATTAATGCAATTAATTCACACCCTTCCTCTCAAAATGCTGCCAAATATACAATGGGCTCGCCTATCCTTTAGGCAACTGGTATGTTTTGTATTAGGGACGTGGGTGGCGCTGTGGGTTAAACCACAGAGCCTAGGACTTGCCGATCAGAAGGTCGGCGGTTCGAATCCCTGTAACGGGATGAGTTCCTGTTGCTCGGTCCCTGCTCCTGCCAACCTAGCAGTTCGAAAGCACGTCAAAGTGCAAGTAGATAAATAGGTACCGCTCTGGCGGGAAAGTAAACGGTGTTTCCGTGCGCTGCTCTGGTTTGCCAGAAGCGGCTTAGTCATGCTGGCCACATGACCCGGAAGCTGTCTGTGGACAAACGCCGGCTCCCTCGGCCGATACAGCGAGATGAGCGCCGCAACCCCAGAGTCGGCCACGACTGGACCTAATGGTCAGGGGTCCCTTTACCTTTACCTATGTTTTGTATTTGTTTTTTTAGGGGCTGAAATCTGATTTCTATACATGCTGCAGCCATTTCTGCACTTACCAAGAAACCTCTGTAAGATCCTAAAGAGGCATGAGAGTAGGGGGGATGAGGGCTGGGCAGATCAATTTGTTTGGTGGCATTCACTGTCACTGCCCCAGTACAAATTTCTTGCCCCATACGCAAATGCTTCCTCCAGGAATTGCAGGCTTGGATGGATGCCATTTTTAAAAAACCTTCTATTTTTTTTAAACTTCCTATTCTCTTATTCCACTAAACAAGTTTAATTCAACTAAATTGCTCAATTGCATCTGCTGCGCGCAAACCTTCCTTACCTCAATACATATGATAACATACCCTCTAACACGCTGAGGCGAAAAACTGCACTGCACGTCTTTTGGGGCTGTGCTCCCACACAAATCACATGACATGTGTGAGATCACGGCCCTGAAATACATGCTTTTTCCAGGAGCCTAAAACTGCGCGTTTTGGGGCACCGTGTGAGATTATGATCCTGAAAAAGCACTTTTCGGGGTGAGCACAGCACGAAATCACAGCGCCCCAAAATGTGTGGTTTGGAGTGCCATGCTCGTGCGACAAAATGGGATGTCCCAAGAGCTGAGAGGTTTGTGATGCTCTACATTGAAAAACAGCTGGGGAAACCAAGGTGAGATAATGAAGTAGCCAAGTGAATATATTGGAAGATACAGTATCTGCAGTGTATCTCTGGCAAATAAGTATTTTGAATCTTGAAAAAGACCCTCTGTCCTCTCTTCTCTATTTTGTAACCATGACATTTTTAGGTGTCTTAGCTTTTGTATGGGGGGGAGGCTCCTCCCACTAGATGGGGCAAGGCTTCTCCAGTTTGCATAAGCCCCACCACAACAGTAAAGAGAGAAGAAATGGCCCTGCTCTGGATACCCTCAAGTCCAGCCTAAGAAGTTAGGAAGTACACATACGAATCATAGAGTTTGGAAGATAGATCATAGGGCCATCGAGTTCAACCCCCTGCCAGCAGGAAAACACCATCAGAGCATCTCCTGACATATGGTTTGTCAGCCCTCTGCTTTAAAGGCCTCCAAAGAAGGAGACTCCACCCACCTCCTTGGCAGCAAATTCCACTGTCGACCAGCTCTTGACTGTCAGAAGTTTCGTCCTAATGTTACGGTGCATCTTCTTGTCTGTAGTTGGATCCATTGCTCGTGTCCGCTTCCTGGAGAACAGAAAACAGCCCTTTCTCCCTCCTCTATGTGACATTCCTTTTATATATTTGAACATGGCTATCATATCACCCCTTAACCTCCTCTTCTCCAGGCTAAACATGCCCAGCTCCCTTAGCCGTTCCTCATAAGGCATCATTTCCAGGCCTTTGACCATTTTGGTTGCCTTCCTCTGGACACGTTCCAGTTTGTCAGTGTCCTTCTTGAACTGTGGTGCCCAGAACTGGACACAGTACTCCAGGTGAGGTCTGACCAGAGCAGAATACAGTGGCACTATTACTTCCCTTGATCTAGATGCTATACTCCTATTGATGCAGCCCAGAATTGCATTGGCTTTTTTAGCTGCCGCGTCACACTGTTGGCTCATGTCAAGTTTGTGGTCAACCAAGACTCCTAGATCCTTTTCACATGTACTGCTCTCAAGCCAGGTGTCCCCCATCTTGTATTTGTGCCTCTCATTTTTTTTGCCCAAGTGCAATACTTTACATTTCTCCCTGTTAAAATTCAACTTGTTTGTTTTGGCCCAGTTCTCTAATCTGTCAAGGTCGTTTTGCAGTGTGATCCTGTCCTCTGGGGTGTTAGCCACCCCTCCCAGTTTGGTGTCATCTGCAAATTTGATCAGGATGCCCTTGAGTCCATCATCCAAGTCGTTGATAAAGATGTTGAATAAGACCGGGCCCAAGACAGAACCCTGTGGCACCCCACTAGTCACTCTTCTCCAGGATGAAGAGGAACCATTGATGAGCACCCTTTGGGTTCGGTCAGTCAGCCAGTTACAAATCCACTGAGTGGTAGCATAGCATACACATGACTCCCCCAATTTGTAAAATAGAAATCAGCTAATAGTGAAAACATTTACTTTGACACCTGTAGTTCCTGTGATGATTTCTGCTTCAGCAATGGGTTGCAATAATGGAATTTCTTGATAGAGGTTAGGAAAGCAAACCAGAGAACCAAGAATGGTATGTGCTTCTAAGCGTGGGGCCTATAAGCAAAACAGAAAAAGGGAAAGGGGAAAAAGTAGGTAATCTTGTCAATTAATAAAAACCCAGTAACGTTTTCTCCAGCATTGTAGGTGAAGCAGAGAAAATAACTCATAACCTGCATAAATATTCTATGTCTGCTGCTTATTTTAATTTTAGCATTCTCCTTCTGCAAGGAAACGATGAAGGAAGGATTAGTATTGTGATAACTTGACTTGATGCCCTGCATCTTGGAGACATCTCACAGGCTGCAGATGGAAACGAGACACTAAAATAGGTTCCTCTCCTATGGCAGGCCCCCACCACACAGTCCAAGCTGACCAGGAAGGCTGCCAAGCACTAGAGAGGGTTTTCAGAGGGTGCAGGTGGCTACAGGGGGAGGGAAAATAGTGCATGTGTGATGCCTTCTACATGCAAACTTTGGATCAAACCGAAGTCTGAATATATACTTCTCCCCTTAAAACGCTGTATAAAATAGCACTAGCTGCTTGTAAATCTAGTGTTCTTATTAGGCATGCAAGGAAAAAATAATAATTTCCCCATTCATATTAAAGTTTCATTCATTTCATTTTCCATTTGTTTTAATTTTGTTCAAACCCACCCCCCAAAAAACCCCAATTTCAATAGGAATTCCCACCTGCCTTTCTTCAGCTACTTTTAACTTAGATTCTTTTCATTCAAATGACTCAGGGTTTTGATGCATTCTGCCATCCCTCCCCAGGATCAGAGCTGCCAAATTTCAGCTAAAAATGGGGACACTTTGAACTAATTTGTTTCATTTTCATTAAAAAAAAAAAGATTATTCATCTCTGGTGTCAGATGGCAGCGAGGCCCAATTTAAAGTTCTTCTAAAAACATCTATATTTCAACATGATTTTCTTTGCTGGCTTGGATGACCAGCCAAACAGAAAATGTAGAATACCTTACAACAAAGAGGTTGCTTAGTACTGGCAATCAAAACAGAAAAATCCCAGTCCAGGCAGTATCATTTCACATGTCGACTCTGCTATACAAACATGGCTATAAAAACTGGTCTTGCCGCTTCATTTCACCAGCAAACACAAGTTATTATAATTCTGAGTATATCTGGTTATTTCTAAAGACATATATGCTCATATGACAAGCTACCATATAATTAATGAGCATTACATATACCAGTAAGATGGAGGCCCAATGTGGTTACATTTTTGAATTAGCAAAATCTGTATTTATGTGCATCATGTTGTCACAATGTCAAAAAATCACAATGAAGATACACACCTACATGTTTCATCAAAGGTAAACTATATTAATAGTGTATGGTTATTGTTAATTTACAAATTCTCTTAAACAACGTAAGTCCTCCATAGCTACCATCTTCAGCTGTACCACACAAACCTCTATGGCAATATTGGGCACTAAGAATTGGTAAGGCCGCCCCTGTTCATTTAGTTCTCATGATACTATGCTTGGGCTATTACTGTATCTAACATGGATATTTTAAAAAAACCAGTCCTTGCTCCAATCCTTTACAGCACATATGCCAGTACACATTTGTAATGTTCATGTATAACAAAAACTTAATAACATTCTGAAACCCAACCCTTGCTTTTAGAGTGCAAATGTGCTGCAGTATTAGTGGGGATATGATTTCTCACATTTTGTCCTTTTGATGAAACACCTTTGCAAGACTAGGATGTCACCTTATCCTACAATTTCACACATCAGCTGCCATGCTGTCTGCCCCAAGAGCCCAGTTTCACATTGTGCTAATGAGTCAACACCTGTTAAGAGTAGAGAAATCTGAACCTTGCTAACAATTGTGCACTCTCATAGGAACAGGACACCGAACATTGCCATACTTACCTCCAACATGTTTGTACTCAGGACTCTGGATGCAGCTGTTATGAAGTCTCCTATTAGCAAAGTGAAGCCAGGTAAACCCAAGAAGAAAAAGCAGGGGGGGCAGTGTCTGATCACAGTATTTAAAACATCCTGAAAAGGAGGAAAAGTTTACATTTTTGAACTTGTTAAGGCCAGATTAGTTACAAACACTAAGAACTTTTCCAATTGACAGCAGTGTCATTATTCCATACCCATGCAATGGTTTCAAACATTAATAATAAAAGGATTCTTCCTTCTTTTACTAGCCTAGATCCAGCATTTGAGTTGAAAAGCAGCTGACCCATACTTAGATGGACCCAGGAAGACTGTAGAAATCTGCCTTATTGGTCAGGCTGTTTGTTCATGTAGTACAGCAATAGAATCATAGAACTGTACAGTTGGAAGGGACACCAGGTCTCACCCCCTGCAATGAAGGAATCTCAGCTAGATCATACATGACAGATGGCCATCAAATTCTTTTAATAATTGGAAGAGGAGAAAGGGAAAGATTACATAGGAACGGCTTTAATGAGAAAATGAAGCATTTTTGCTATGAGTTTCATGAGCGAAATCAGAAGTTACAAAAACAGGAGCCACAAAAACTTATAAATTCATTCTACCTGCAGCACACAGAGATACATAGTGGAAAAAAGATTGCCAAAGTAGTAACTCATGAAGGAGAGTCATCCATCTTCCGAAGGAGTCTGTTCCACTGTCAAACAGCTCTTACTATCAGAAATTTATTCCTGATGTTTAGTTGGAATCTTCTTTCTTATAACTTGAGGCCATTGGCTTGGGTCCTAGCCCCCAGAACAAGAGAAAACAAGCTTGCTCCATCCTTCATGTGACAGCCTTTTAGATATTTGAAGGTGGCTATCACCTTCAAGCTGCACACATTCCAGCTTATCCTTCTTAAACTGTGACACCCAGAACTGGACACAGTACTCCAAGGGTGGTCTGACCAAGGCACAATAGTTAGGTACTATGAATTCCCTTGATTGCGACACTATAATTTGTTGCTGCAGCCTAGATTGGCATTAGCTTCTTTTGCTGCTGCATCACACTGTTGGCTCATCTTATGCTTGTGGTCTACTAAGACCCCATGATCCTTTTCACATGTGTACCCAGGTGTCCCCCATCTTATATTTGTGCAGCTGGGTACAGAACCTTACATTTGTCCCTACTGAAATTCATGTTGTGAATTTCAGCCCAGTTCTCCAATCTGTTAAGGTCATTCTAAATCCCAATTCTATATTCCCTAGCATTGGCTACACCTCCCAGTTTGGTGTCATCTGCAAATTTGATGAGTATCCTCTCAATACCTTCATTCAAGTCATTTATAAAGATGTTGAACAACAATGTGTGGACATTATCTACTCTGACTGGAAGCAGTTCTCCAGGATTTTAGGCAGAGGTATTTCCTATGATCCTGTTAACTGGATTTGGCAGAAGCTGAACCAGAAACTTTCTGCTTTGCAGGCATGTACCACTGAGTTATGGAATCAATGATGTCCATTTGCCTTGTGTAGTCTGTTAACTTTATTGTCTGTACAGCTATTCACAGCCCATGTCATGTTTTTCTTTTCACTGAGGTCTGCTCCTGTTCTGACTGCTCCAAGAACTTGTACTTTAAAGAGAGGATTAGAAAAATTCATGGACGATAGTACTATCAGTGTCTACTAGTCATAATGGCTATGTTCTACCTCCACTGTTGGAGGCAGTGTTGCTTGAAATCTTAAGGTGGAGGGAAGAGGACAGTTGCACTCAGGTCCTGTTTGCAGGCTTCCCATAGGCATCTAGTTGGCCCCTGTGAGAACAGAATGCCGGACTACATGGGCCTTTGTTTGAACACAGCAAAGTTCTTCTTATGTTCTTATGACTTCAGTGCCTAGCAATCTGGGATCTCTTTGTCCACCTCAAGATAAAAAATAAAGGGGGGGGAGTGAAAATTGGTGAACAGAGGGCATTAGTACACCTACAACATGCTTTGCCTCTTGAAATCCTTCAAGGAACTGTCCATTCATCATGGTTAACTAGCTCTTCCAGGTTCTGCTCAAGTTCTGCTTCTTGCTCCTGAAAAGAAAGGCCAGCAGACCCTGTTTAACAGGGAGACTATTTGAAACGGAGCAAGGAGAGGGCAAGAAACTGCTCCAAACTGAAAAGGAGGACTTACTGGGTACCAGTTTTGCCACCAACAGTTTTGATTTTATTCAGCCTCTTACTGACCAGGAGTACTACCCATATCAGAAAAAACATTCACTTGTCTAAGATAGGACAAAGATATAGGTATTAAGCAAAGGGACTAGTTTGTGTTTTTTGTTTTGTTCTTCTTTTTTATTTTATTTTTTAAAAAGAATTCTGCAGTGCTACTCCCTACATCCAAAATCAGTTTCGCTGCCTATGCCAGAGTCATATTACAGAGCAAGGAATGAAGAAAAAGAAAAATACACATTACAAGAAAAACATTAAGAAAACTCCTTCTGCAATGAGAATCTCACATAAAAATCAGTTTGAGTAGTAAAATCATGTCAAAAAATTATGTTCTCCTCCTCTGAATTAAGTTTTCCAATGTGTAAGCAGTCTCCGGGTTTTACATATGACATTTGCTCCTCAGGAAATATTAGAATATTACACAACATTGCTACGTTGTATAGCTGAAGCATGAAGATTGCAAAACCTCATCTTATAGTATCATAAGCCAACCTGATACATGTTTTTACACAAATATTGTTTAAAAGGTAAACACATTTTAGCATCATTGCAGGGAGCATTTTCACCTTTGAAACACTACACAGGTTAATGTTCAAACTGGTTTTAATCACTTCCCACAATACATTTTAAAGGCAATATCAGTCAATGCAAACATTCTAAAAGAATGAGCAGATGGATGCTGGAGCTCATAAAGTGGCTGGTAAACTCCTGCTCTGAAAACAGAACAAAAGACCCACCTTTTCCATAATTAAGGGGCTGATTAATGCATTGGGCTCCTCACAACACACCTGTAATTACTGAGAGGTAAGTATTGTGTTGTGCGCCTAGTGTCTGAACAAGCCATGCAGCAGCAGATGGGACGACATCTCTATTGACATATGCTGCAATAAAAAGACTCATGAATCTTGGGATGAAAGACAACAGAGAGTAGATTTTTTAAAGATTAGTAAGTACTAACCCTTGCTCTATTTTCATGAAAGTTGTGTCTACATAACGAAAAACTATTTTCAACTCTTTGAATTTTACCAGAAATATTCTGGAACATACCCAAGTAGAATCAGGTGAAGCCACATCTTTCAGCATTCAAAAAACTTTACCTCTTCATTTTAAAAGACACACACAGAGAGAGATAATAGGGCTCAAGTCGTCTAACTTTTTCTTTAAATCCCATTATCTTGTAGTCATCCGATAATTTTGTTGAAAGATAAAGGACCAATGGACACAATTCACCAGGATGTTCTCCTGCCCAGGACCCACTGAAATGCACCCTGTTACTTCCATGGCCGAACCCAGGATAGTCCTCCATTCACCATCTAAGTTGTGGCTATTCAACACCAATAACTGGCAGCAGCAGACAAGGGGTGATACTTCCTCTTTTGTCATTATTATGAATTGCTGTAAGATTTTTATATTGATCCTTATAATTTTGTACTTATGTATTGCCACAGTTATATCTCAGGGGAATTATTTTAGCTGCCTTAAGCATGGCAATAGAAAATCAGGATACACATTTATAATAAACACCAAAGAAATAAGTTCTGACTCAACATCTTTAAAGGTTCAAGTCATAAAGGTGACACAAGACATTCTGTGCATTATAGTCTTTCAGGTCTGTTAGTGTGTCTGGACCCACATGTGCACAAACATGTATTTTGCACACCTGTTCACATAAAATACTAATTTGTGAAATTATCAATAAGATTCTCGGGATTTTAACAGGAGATAATTGTGCCTACACAGGATTGCACTGACTGTACTAACACTGCTAATTTTGAGAAATTTAGCAATGACCATTATTAGGGAACTTGCTAGGGTAACAAGAATCACACCATTGTAGTCACTGCAATATTTTTTAACAAAAGGGTAGTTGTGTTTAGGGATAAGCTTGTGCCAATATGCAATGATTTAGAAGCAACAACAGCATTTAAAGATAGAGTAAAAAGGATTAATAATACAAGGCACAGGTTAACCCACCCACATGTTGTCTGGAACATATGCATAAACAAAGGAGAAAGGCTAGAGGCAGAAAGTCTCCTAAGGATGGAGTTATGAGGTAGAGTTTTAGAGATCCCACTTTTCTATATACAGCAAAAGACCCAGGAAGGGGAAAAAGTTACTTGTAAAGTAGCAAGTGAGAGCCAGAGGTGGCCATGATTATGGAAATAGAAAAGGTAGAGATGGGAAAGGGGACTAAGATGTAGCAGTTAAATGTCCTAGATTAGAAGGAACTGGAGGAACCCTTTATATCATGCTTTTTGGACTAGTTGCCAAGCAACTAGATAGGCTTGGATGTTTCAAGAAGGATTTAGTTGTTTAAGATAATCCTTCCACTTGTCTAAAAGGTGAAAGGTCCTGGCTTTAACCAGGTGGCTGACTACTCAACTAAAAGTGACTTCCCACTTTCCACAACCACCAGTTCTCTGGATTCTTATGAATCTGACAAGTCTTGCTTCGAAAATAGAAAAAATATTTCCCTTTAAAGAGGCACGGGTGGGTGCTTTTCCACAGAGTAAGAAGAAGAAGAAGAAGAAGAAGAAGAAGAAGAAGAAGAGTTTGGATTTGATATCCCGCCTTTCACTCCCTTTAAGGAGTCTCAAAGTGGCTGACATTCTCCTTTCCCTTCCTCCCCCACAACAAACACTCTGTGAGGTGAGTGGGGCTGAGAGACTTCAGAGAAGTGTGACTGGCCCAAGGTCACCCAGCAGCTGCAGGTGGAGGAGCGGAGACGTGAACCTGGTTCACCAGATTACAAGTCTACCACTCTTAACCACTACACCACACTGGTTAATACTGGTAGTATTAACTACTCCAGAAACAAAATAACTAACTCAGTCCAGAAACAAGGAGCATTGGGAAGGAGAAGGTGAGGAAGAAAGAAAGAAGGGGAGAAGTCAGCTGCA